ATAGTTCACGTACTTGCCTCCCCTCTATGCCTCAGGAAACAACGTTTGCAGCAGGACATTCATGCCAAGCCTCTTGCTCCTATCTGATGCCACTCCTGCTTTCAGAAATAAGGTGCAAACAGTCATGTTCCAGCAGGAGAATATGTTATTTCTGCTCACAGTAATCTGCACACCAAACAAGCCCGCTTCACATTCCTGGGCAAGCTGAGACACTGCCAGCCCTGTTTGTGAAGGTGGAAATGTACTGCTTACCTGTGCCGCAGTATTTCCCACTACACCACATGCTGCTGTTGTACAGAGCAGAATTCGGTTAACCTGAGAATGAATTTATTTTCTTTGAATAATCTAACTCAATCTATAACAAACAACATTTTCCTTCAAAATTGACTGGAGTAAAGTTATGTAATGTATGTAATGTAAGACTTTTTATTTTTTATCTGTACTGTTGATGAAAGCTTCAGGTTTTCATCAGGTTTCTTTTATTTAAATAAATAAGTTTAAATAACTTAAATGTGGAAATGAGCTGCTTCGAAGGATGTGACACAACTTGATAACTGTCTTTTGCAGCCTGTGTGCTCGGCCCATAATGTGTCTTTTATTAAGTTTTAATATGTTTTTAGAATGTAGTATGTTACTATACTGTTTTTTGTGTTCAGTACCTTTGTTTGCAGTAATATTGTATGCAGCGTGCATGGATTCAAAATGGTATAGAAGTATATTTTATTAGATATTTCAGTGACAATAAGGTAGGGCTGTGCTATTTTTAAAGGGCTTGTGTCCACGCTATCCTCAGTCATAGGAATGGAATTCCATTATAAAGCTCTTATCAGCCGGACTTTGTCCCCAGGCTTTGTCCCAAGGCTTTGTCCCCGGGCTTTGGGAATGAGCGGTTTATGAATGGACATACCTGCACTCACTGCATGTGCTCAAAAGAACCACCATTACTTTGTCTCTATTGCAATTCTGCAATTGACCGCGCATTAACCACACTTTGAGTGGTCATGTAGGTCGTAACTCAACTATTTTTAGGACTAAACAATCACCACAATCAAGAGCAAGGCCGAAGAAGCTTAAAACTCAAAACCAATGAGGGTCCATAGTTTTATCTGCATGCATATGGAGCCAAATCCAGGGTTCCCTTCAGGAAACTCAGTCAAAACTATATTCAACCCAAAAATACTTTTTGTCCACTTATTATTCATTTGAATACATTGTTGTATTTTCCAATGTTCAAGACAAAAACTTAAACTTCCAGGTTCAGGCACATTTGTTTGCCAAAGGATCAGATGCATTCCTTAGACATCTAGAGAGGATGCTGGCACGGCTTGCATATTTACCAGAACTGACAGTCTAGTAAAACAGGAAGTGTTGGATAACGCCCACAGTCTCACAAGCTTTTGTGCTGTACGAAGCACAATTTCCTTTTCCTTGGAAGACAACAATGTCTTGAATGTCCATGTGTGAGACCCACACAAAGAGGTGTCAGCTTTGCGTTCTACATTTTATCAGAGTAAAACTACGTATCTATAAGCAATAACTTGTTTTGTGCCTGAGAGAAATATTAACATTGATTATTGTTGGGTTCTTCAAGAGAACGTGCAGAGTAACCACAGCTCCACCTTGATCCTAACTAAGGGGATGGAAGTATCAAACTGTTGAAAACTGAATACCTGCACACTTACATCTATGCAGATCACACTATATTTGAGCTTTACAAAGCATTTAGGATCTGATGAAGGTCCGAAAGGACTAGAAGCTCAAATAAATTGTATCTGCATAGATTGAAGTGTGCGGATATCTTGTTTAAGGGCTTTTTTACATCAAGAGGATATAGGGAAGCCTGACTTTCTACTATCCTAACACAACATTCAACTTTTTCATCTCAGCTTTTTACTACTACCAATAGTTTTATTACATCTGACTTTGTACAATTTCTAACCTGCCATTGGACATTGATTACTGTTAACATTACAGATGGCTGCTCTTCTCCTTTCTTCTAGGGATGTGACTGGAAAAGTCATTATAGCAGGACTCCAGAAAGTGGAGACTATTAAGTCTTGCTGTAGTGTTTTCTAACAGAGACATGATCTCATATTTCTCCATATAATTCAACAGAACTGCAGAGCCAAGATAAAGTAGCCTTATGTGGTAGGTATTGATTCATTTTCTGTAATTATATTATATTGTAATTGTTTGTATTGTGAGAAGTTGACAAAAAACGGGGTTTAATCTGTCATCTTGTAATTTATTTCATCTAATCTAATATCCAAAAGGAGTTCTATTGGATTACATTTCCAATTCCTCCATTGAAAGGCTGTTACCTTGTTCCACTATGCCTGTGTACCAAAAGTGTACCAAAGGCTCTCTCTGTGCTTTTAGAAAGGGAACAAAATTTGCATTCAGTCCATCCCGTCAGACGGTCTCTTGGTATTAAAAGACACAGCAAGCTGTCCTACAGCTGGGCCCCTCACTGCCAGGAAGGGAGTGAGGGATAATGGGGACTGGGGCACACGGTATAAATAGCAATGTCAGACAGATATTCCCAGCCTGTTCCAAATGAAGACAAAACCCCACCACTGTATTACCATAAAGCAAGCTAAACCCATTTTAAAGTAAAGGAGATATTAATTCTGACTAGAACATTTCGCAGTATTAGTATATACTAGTATAGTAGTAGTTATAGTAGCAGAAAAAATTCTAGAAATAACAGCACCATTAGTAAAAGCATTATTTTATTCCTGATCTGAATCCTTGCCATCATTTGTTATTGGACTTCTGTGCCAGTCACGGATTGTCCATAACAAACAGCATGTTTGAACATAAGGATGTTCATACCTGTTCGTGGTACCAGAACACCCCAGGCCGAAGATCGATGATTTTGTGGTCGTTTCGGCTGATGTGAGGCTGTCATGTTTTGGACACTTGGGTAAAGAGAGGGGCAGAGTTGTCAACTGATCATCATCAGTGGCTGGGAGAAGACTCAGGATAGATCTGGTAAGCCCAAGCACGTAGTGCGGGTCCACTGGGAACGTCTGGGGAGGCCCCCGTCCAACAGATTTTCAACTCACACCTCTGGCGGAGCTTCTCTCGCATTCCTGTAGAGGTAGGGGAATGTTGTATGTTCAAAACTTCCATTGTTAAAGCTGCGACAGTGAGTGAGGCCTTAAGGTCTTAGGTGCATCAATGGACAGTAATCCTTGAACACTGTGGTGGACACCGGCGGTCAGGGAAGCCGTCCGACTGAAGAAGGAGGCCTAGTCGAGGGAAGGAGAGTCTACAGTTTGTGATCGATCTCATGGTTGCTTTTTGCAGACAATGTGGTCCCAATGACCTCCAACTCTCACTAAAGTGCAGCCAAATGTGAGGCGGTTGGGATTACGATCAGCACCTCCAAATCTGAGGCCATGGTTCTCAGCAGGAAACCGATGGATTGTCCACTACGTGTAGGGAATGTGTCCTTACACAAAGTGAAGGAGTTCAAGTACCTCGGGGTCTTGTTCGCAAGTGAGGGAAAGATAGAATCTGAGTTACGGCTTTACCGCACAATTGTAATGGTGAGCTGAGCCGGAAGGCAAAGCTCTCGATCTACGGTCAATCTTCATTTCTACCCTCACCTATGTTCGGAAATGTGGCATTCAGGAGTTTCAGATGGATGTAGCTGGCGTATGATTCATTGGAAGTTGTACTAATTGTCAGGTACAAGCAACGCCACCTTGGTAATTGCACCCAAGGATTAAATCTTGTCCTCACAGTAATAGGTCTTAAGACACTCAGATCTGTTTGTACAGAGCCACCATAAAATGTCCGTCTTTAAAACAAACTATCTCTTTAAAAACGCTAACGCCGGGACATCAATCCACATCACCGGAGGCGGAGTGCCAGTGAGATTGGCGTCTGACCCTGTCGGCAATGCAGCGGCGATCGACGGTACACCCGTGTTTAGGTGAAACAGAACTGAGGCGAAGCCAAAACAGCTGCGTTTCTCTTGAATCCCTCTTTCAGTCTCCTGCGGTAGAGCATATAATCAAATCAATAGTGCAAACACCTAAATGATAGGGACTAGCCAAAGGAAAAGCACCCACCGATCAGGCAATAACTGTCTGCTCCAGAAGGTGGTAGGAGGCCAGGTAATGCTGCTACCGACAGCTAAATCACAGATTACGGTTACCAATGTGACCACATAGTACTATAAGGCCAGGAGTTACACGCAACTCACCAACTGATCCGCGGGTACGACCCCAGTGCAGGACGAGGGGAGCCTCGAGGTCGTCTGCACCAGACGTGGACGTCTGACCGACCGGAAGTGCAACTTTGCTTTGATTCGTATTCATGGGAGACCCCCCCCCGTGATTGGCTAACAAGTGTTTGGTAGTTAAAAGGGGCTTCCAGGAATAGAAGCTATTACTTCCACATAAAGGATGAGTCACGACCAAAAAAACTAGGTCACAGGCCAAAATGTGTTTCGTCACGAGAGTGAGAAGCTCAGCCATGCGTGAGGAGATCAAAGTAGAGCCGCTGCTCCTTTGCGTTGAAAGGAACCATTTGAGGTAATTTCGAGCTTCTGGTAAGGACCCCCCCTGGGCGCCTCCCTAGGGAGGTTTTTCAGCCACGGCCAGCTGGGAAGAGGCCCCGGGGAAGACCCAGGACTAGGTGGAGAGATTATATTATTGATGCCTACATTATTTTGACAGCTGATGAAGACAGTATGGACCAGTGGACTGAAACTCAATGTGATTATGCACAAGTAACACAGAATACCGGCCACCGGTCACTTTCTTTCTCACTGCACACGTCACTTTCACTTGTCACTTTTTACTCGTTACTTTTGTCACTTCCTGTTCGCTGGTGCACTTTATTTTTTCATGTTTAAATATTTTTAACTTTTTATTTTAAACTAACCCATAGCTTCATACTACTAACCCATAGCATTATATTTTATTTTATTCCTCGTGCACTGTTGTCTTGTCGTCCATAGTGGTACTGTCTGCTGTTACTGTTAAATAGCAGAAAAAAGAAGGAAACTTTATAAAGATTGCATTGCTGTTCATAAAGTAAATCAGTTGAGTTGAAACCATTTATTTAAAAATAGCAGCTTCAAGAGAACTCAAAACTGAAGACCAAAGGAGAGGGCTTAGGTTTATGTGGAAGTGGGGCCGTAGTCAACTACATTACCACACAACAAAGACTTTGGCTTGACGTTTAAGTTTTCAGTCATGTTGGAAAGTAACGTTGACTCTTTTATAAACGACGCATTCCACAGTTTTAACTCATTTTTAGTTGTGTCTGGAGGTCATGTCTCTAAAAAAAAGTCTATAAATAGACCTCAAGTTCACCAGATGCCTGACGAGTGGATGCCCTGACTCATGCACTAAGCTACAGTGTCTGTTAAATCCATAATGCGGATATCACAGTCGCTGAGCGGGCTCTGGAGCAGCACAGAGTATATCTCCCTTTTTTGAACCTGATTGCTGCATTACTTATACGCAGAGTGGAAGACCGCAGGCTGCCACGTCTTTGTGAGTATTAGTGATTGGGTTATACTACTACAAGTAAACTGGTGTTGATGTCATGTTAGTCTGTTAAATATGATTTTTGTTATTATAATTATACTTACACAAACCACAAACTGAGTTCACACTGACATTCTGACAACTTAAGACATGTCAGGCTAGCTGGGTAGTCTAACCGTAGCTAGGCTACGGTTAGCTGGTAGTATATGTTCTTTTAAATATCCACAATATACAGTATTCTTAACTAATGTGACCATAGTCTTTAAGGCTGAATCGGTGATCTTTGCTTATTATTCACCAAAATTCCTGAATATTGTGTCCATTGTGTGTGCTAGTTAGCTACAAAAAAATCATAGCCATGTTAGCGAGTTAGTTTGTAGCAAGATACTTTTACCAGTCATATGCTGACAGGGGCGTGCTAGCGGTCGCCAGGACGGCCGGCCGGCGTAACTCGCGCGTCCATATGCTCGCGCATAACGAGCAAAAGAACACCTAAACCTATGTAAGAGAGAATCATGTTTATGATATTTCATATTTCAAGTTTAAATGGATATAATACAAGGATTTTATTTGTCACCTATATAGAAATACTAATGTACGACATGTCTTGAATTAGCATTTGAATGTTCAACTTTACTGCACATGGGGTAAAGGAAAGAACGATCAGGAAAGTATTTTAATAAATAGCAAAAAGGGGGAGTATAACTGCTATAACCACAAAGTGTACTCAGTGTAAGTGCCAAGTGATGTGATTTATGTAGTTTTGTGTGTGTCCTGTGTAAAAGTGCAAATGTTAGTTTAAGACAAATGTGTCTCTATCCTAAAAAAAGCCACCATTATGGTGATACTGACGACAGTGACAGAGAGCCTGCACCCAAGAAGGCCCCAACACCATCAATACGGCCGTCTTCAGGACCGTCATTACCATCACGATGTAAATATAATCAGTATTTGTCTGATTGTGAAAATCAATGAACATTGATGAACTCTTACATTGCTGGTTTTTTTTAGAACTCTTCTGTTCCAAATGTCACAGAAATGGCTTCCCTATAACCCTTCCCTTATGTTTTTATTGTTTTATTTATTGTTCAGCAACCAACTCCGTGGCCATCCTACTTCGCCCAACCTCCATTACCACCACCTCCAGGGCCATCCTCATTTTCTCCACTTCCACCACGCTCCCCTTCAAGGCCCCCCTCAGTTTCTACACCTCATCAGCAGTTATTCCAACCTCCTTACACCTGTTCATCTCAGGACAACTACATCGATCCATCTCCGTGCCATCCACCTCCCGGGATGTCCTCTGATGGCTTAGCTAGTTAGAGATAGAGCCACCGTATTTATGCCCAGCCTGAATATGGGGCGTTCTGGGAAGGACCCAATAATCTGCACACGTAAGTGAATTACTGCACAATCATAGTATTAACAACTCAACATATGATGTTGAATCACATAAACCATATAAAGAAAACCCAATATGGATCATTTTAACATTGAGAAACTCATTCAGAAACATTCAAATCAATGTTAAAACAATGCCTTTCAATTACATGTTGTAGCATTGTCTGCTTTGCTACATTTAGAATTCATATCCTGTCTCTAAATGTATTTATTTTTGTAGCTGCTGAGCTCCACATGCTGACACTAATGGAGAACACGAAGCAACAGCTAAACCAGCTTTCAATAAATATGATCACGGCCGGAGCAGCAGCCGCTGAGCCTGTTGTGAGGAGATCTCCTTCCCCCTGGACTCCTCGAGGGGGTTGATAACTTTGAAGACTGGTTGAAAAACGCAGGCAACACAGCCAAAAAACAGCACTTATATAACATTAATCTGTCTAATAACACTTGGTATTCACATGGTATTCATGCTGTTTTTTGTTGTCAATGGGCATCACAATAAGATTTGTCAGGGTACCCGGTGATATCCCTTGGGCCTTTTAATATATTTTATATATATATATATATATATATATACATACACACATTTTCCCATTGGAATTAATGTGATTTCTGTAAATTTAGAGGTTTTATTAAAGGTTTATAGCTGACATATTTTAGCCTGTCCCATTAGGGGGAAATTGATACAACCATATAAACCTAAAATATTCCCTCAAGATTTATGACATGAGATATGTTGTACTCATTGCTATGTTCCCCTTACCATCGTTTATCAATCTGTTACCTCTCACTAATTTAGTGTCTTGTTTCCACAGGGGGGGATGCTGGCCTCCATTGGGGGAAGAGATACCAAACACATTGTCTTTAACATTTTGGCCGACAGTGTAGCCAAATCAATAAATTGGAAAGGGATGAACAATAAAAAGAAATTCAGTGAGATAGGAACCAAAACCATCATGGCTCGTAAGTATCATCATATACGTCATATACCGTATATATCATATATATAGATGCCTTTCTCTCAGTCCTTACTGAATCACTACTCTCTTATTTATTCACTGATAACTCCCGCCACGCCACTTTTGTCACATTTATTATTTATTTGTGCAAGCATTTTACTATAATGTCATGTAATGAAAATTCGTTTTATTATATATATTTTATCTAATATTTACTGATTCTTACAGGAGCAGTGAGGAAGAATCGGCTTTCGAACAAAGCCACAGACACCGAAATGAATCAAATAGCCATCAGATGGTTTAATCTGGCTTGCGCCCGTGGGGGGGCTCGCCGTGCCCGGTCACAACCAACTGAGATGCAGTGATCACATCAGGTTTTGTTCTTTATATTTTTACTGTTACTGTTTATGACATTTTATACCTCCACACACACACACACTTTTTTTTCTGCATGCACACACACACGTACACGCTGTTCATGCTGTAAGTGCTCTTTTGCCTTATTTAAATAAAAAACTATTTTGAAAATTACAGATTGTGTGGGTATTTGTTTGGGCTATCACAGACCAGAGCCAGGTGAGCCCCAGATGTCAAATATGAGTCGCGGATTTGGGCCAGATCCGTACCACACGTCATGGGGTTAATAACTGTACTGGGCCAGTGCAAATCTGCACAGTGAGTGTGACTGCTGCGCGGATCTGCTGATACGAAAACGGATCTGGCACAGATGTAAATGCTGTCTGGGGTCCGCGTTCCATTGGCCCTTAGAGGACCAGATTTTTAGATTTTAGATTTAGAATGCGTCGTCACTGGTAAGATGGTATTGGCCGGCGCTCCAAGACTGTCCTTAGGAAACATCTGGGTGACGTCACTAAAACCACACAGCAAAATTCTTTGAGTGAATTTTCCGATGTTAGGCAATAAAGTAGAGTTGAAATCACACTGCAAAAAATGGATTCATCTGATACAGAGTCAATTGTAGAAAAGAGCTGGAGTCCTTATCCAGTGTCAAGGGTTTTTAACTCTACATAGTAGAGTACACTTAGTAGAGTTCAATGATAGGTTTGAAACGTAACTGTACACCAGTGTCACAGTGTGTATTTTACACGGAGCAGATTTATCTTTGACCCTTATTCCGGGTTAAATTGTTAACACTTCATTGAGTGTTGATTTAACACTAAGATTGGGACAATACAAACACCAGCTGTGAGGTCAAACTAAATCTCAATTTAACTCTCTGAAATTTGCTGTGTACGTCCATTTGTCCAAGTCTATGGTCTCAATAAGTGTTTTGTCCCAATAACCATTCCAATATGAATTGATAAATTATCATGTAGTTTTTGGTGTCTCTCAGAACGAAAACGAGGCCAGGATGTAATCGTCATCATAGTGTAATGACTGCAGCGATTGGAAAGGTGAATATTTGTGTATATGAAACCAATATATCCCATTTTGTACTGTGAGAGTATGTTGACGTGTGTACGTAATGGACGGATAATAGAAGCTGTAGGTGTCAGCATTGTGTCTTCTCATTGGCTGTAAACGCATTTGTAAATGAGTCCAACCTCCATGTTTAAAGTCTACCATTGGTCAAGTGGCTACACAGCGGCTCCACGTGAGCATGTGAACGCTCCTCATTCAGGAGAAAACCTGCTTCATCTGTTGAATGACCTCATCGGGACGCGCGCGCACGCAGGATGTGGGAGGCCCGCCCCTGTCTGGTGACGTAACAGGCGGACGCGCCTTATTAGGGGAAGCTCGCGCTCAGCGGCCGCAGCAGAAAGCAGCGTCAGTCGGAAGGAATCGGAGAAGCGGACTGAACCCCGACATGGGGACAATAAGACCAGTTCTTCTCACTGTCCTCTTCCTGTCCTCGGCCTCAGGTGAGTCAGCGACCATTTCAGAAATATCCGACTACATTAAAATGTCAAATGTTTCCTATAGAAGGGGACACTCGCCCATAAACAGGCCAGTTATGTGTCGTATAGGAGTCTATAAAGTCTTTATTAGTCATATGTGGTCTATGTGTATTCCCATGCAGTGGAAACCTGGACAGACATTCTCTGAGTCTCTGTCCACACTGTACAAATAGCGTGATTTAACAACATATTCAAATATTTTTATGAAATATGGTGTAACTGATCCGCCGGCAACACAAGTTGCTCTTTAAAGTTGAAGAGGATCTAAGAGTTTTTTTCCCAACTGAAGTCCAGTCTACATCAGGTCATTGTGGAGCCTCCACACCTCCTTCACTACGAGCCGTTAGGCCCCATTTCCACTGAATACCATTGGTCTGGAGCGGCAAAGACACTACACAGTCATAACGATTTATACATAGTTATATGACATATATATACACAAATATAGATTGTTGTATTTATGGAATTACATCGTCGCTTGACATTCTTTTGCTATTGTACTTATTGTTACCATAACAACCTCTTATGGAGCGAGAAACAAATACGCTGGCATGTGTAAACCTTCATTGACATCAATTAAACACTATGCAGGCCAATAAATAAATAAATAAAACAGCTGAATATCTGCCTAGTAACTTGAGAAGACTAAAGCTAAAATAGGACAGTTTGTATTGAAGCAAAGTCCATTTCATAGATGAGAAGAGAAGCTGTGATGTGTGAATGCTCCTGTCATTATTCTCCATCGTCCCACGCCTCACTGTCTCTGCCGCGTCCGCTTTGTGAAAGCGTACAACGATAACAGTCATTGTTTGCTCATTTCCTGCGTTCAGGAGTCAATGTCAATCATCCGAGCTACCTTTGGGGGCGGGGCACACGGGAGGAGGCCTGTGATTAGCTCCGCCCCTCAGAAGCTTCGTTCACTGATAAAAGTGCAACAAGCACGTTGGCGAGAGAGTCGCTGCTCTTTTTCTTCATCTCCAGCTTGATACTTTTCAATAAACGCTGTGAGCTTGTTCAGTGTTTAAATGTGACATGTTATGTCGTTCATATGGACCTAAGTGGACATAAGTAACCAAATGAATATGTGCATTTGCATTCATGGATATTCATCTCCAGCCCCCTGCAGGGTAAGACAGAGGTGTAATATAATGTGCCGCTCATATTAGATTCAAAAATATAAACATTTTATTTTCAGCAACACAGTATTACCTCAATAAGTTATTTATTTCATCAGCGCCCAGGAACACGGGGGCAGAAGTGGGTTTCCGACCAGCACATCTGTTCCCCGCTGGCGTTTTCAATGCTCTGCTTTCTCACACACTGTTTGGAACAGGTGCCTCGGACGTTGAATGCTTTTTCCCACTTTGGGTAAAGGATGTCACCAACTGTCTGAAGCTTGTTCGTGTCAATGAGGCAAACCTCCGAACACCCAGAAACTGGGCCTCCTTTTCTCTAGTGGGTTCTTTGGGTGGTGCACCGAGTCAGAGGACCCGGAGGACCCAAAATGTCCCACTAGCACTGATAGAAGCACTCAGAACTTTATGATCATTAAGATCGTCTCACATTGTGAGCCTCCCAAAGTGTACTTTATGTAATCATTTTGTTTTAAAAATCCACTTGTTAGATTTTATTCAATTAAAAGTTCAGGTCAGAATGCCATTTAACCAACGTACCTTCTAACCAATGTACCTTCTAACTGAATGTACCTTCTAACCAATGTACCTTCTAACCAATGTACCTTCTAAAATAAGAGAGCTTTCGTTCCATGCATTGTTTGGCATTTTATGGCCATTATTCTTTGTCCTTCCACACTTGATATTGGGAATAGTATTTGATATGAACTCTTCTATTTCCAGGCTCCTATCCCCGCGCACACAATGTCACTTGGAAATCCACCAATTTTAAAACCATCTTGACCTGGGAGCCCAAACCATCAGCTGATTACTCCTACACGGTGGAGTTCTCTGCGTAAGTACCTGCATGTGGGCTGACTGAAGTACACTCCCCGCGGGCACAAAGCCATCCATTCCTGATGCAGTACAATATTGGAGTGGAATGTTGATTTGAGGCCAGGTATCCATAAAGACAGCGACGACTCAAAGGCATTGATGCTCCTCTGTGGTTCGTGGTTCAATCTGACATTCTGATGGATGTGTTCAGTGACATGACTTTGTGTAATGGATTCTATCAACCTTAATTTGATTTCTGTGTCCAATACTCACGTCCACATGTCTTCTGTTGCAGGGTCGGTGCTGACAAACAGAGGAACTCTCACTGCATCCGGTCCTCCGTGACCCGATGTGACCTGTCCAGCTCTCTAAGTGACCTCAATGCCAACTATGTGGCAGACGTCCTGTCTGAACCCCCCCTGGGGGCCACCTCCAGTCTCATAGAGTTCCCTTACTCCAGCTCACCGCGATTCTGCCCCTACAAAGACAGTAGGTCTACTACTACAAGTACTACTACCACTACAAGTACCACTACTGCTACAATTACATGTTTTCATGTGTTGAAACAACATTTTATTAGTTAGTTTATTAGTTAATTATTAGTTCCTAATATCAGAAAGTCAGAAAGAAAGAAATCAAAGGCTAATGTGCACCTCCGTCACATGCACAGCGTCACATGCACAGCGACTTTCTCTGACCTGCTGGATTTAAGCTGGAATTCTTGTCCTGGTTGCTCAGAATTCTTAGCAACCTTTGTAGTTGTTTGACCTCCATGTTATGTGGTTTAGATAAGAGCTACAAAGACACATTGAGCTCGTAATGTTCAATTATTAATGATGTGGTCAATGTATCAAATGTTACAGTCCAAACATTCAATGTGCTGCTCGTGGCTTTCGACCTGTCTGACTTTAGTGCTGTCTGAGTTCACAACACAGTAATGGAAATGAAAGAGAGGCACAAGTTTTAATAAACTAAAGTCATAATTGAGTTGGTCAAATGTGTTGAGAAGCGTATTTGGCCCATTTGTGGCCTTGGTGCTACCAAACACCTCTGTGACCTCTGATGCCTCTTTGCTCCTCCTCAGCTGATGTAGGCCGACTGGACTTTAAGCTGCAGGTGAGCGAAGACAAAAAGAAGACCACCCTGTATGTGACTGACCCACTCACTGCCCTGTTTGAAGATGGCCGTCAGCTGAACATCAGGGACATCTTCTCCAGCCAGCTGCAGTACAAAGTCACCTATTGGAAAAATAAGAGCACTGGGAAGGTGAGTAAGAGCAAACGTTCAAGTGTTCGCCTCAAACACTCACGAATGAGACGTTTACTTGACAAACTTCCTTGTGTTGTCTGCAGAAAGTACGCCTGTCAGCGAGCAATGTGATAGAGATGACTGATCTGGACCGAGCAAAGAGCTACTGCTTCAAAGTCCAGGCTTATATTCCCAGCCGGAGCCTCGACAAGCAGCTGGGAGAGCTGAGCCGGACCCAGTGCTCCGACGGCGACAACCAGTCCGTCTTTGAAGGTGAGGCGACCTGCTTCTGTTAAAGGGTTACACCCTCCCGCAGTGGACAAGTGTCCCTATGTGACTAAAAAGCTGCTTATTGATCCAATACTGAGCACTCAGCACCAACCACATGCTCCACGATCCGCATCGAGTCAGGAGTCAAGTCCCAGTGAGACTGGAGTCAGACACTCTCAAGCCTCCACACTGTGACCCGTTCCCCGTCCCACAGGAAGCCGTCACACTGACCCGTTCCCCAGTCACACAGGGAAGCCTCCACACTGTGACCCGTTCCCCGTCCCACAGGAAGCCTCCACACTGTGACCCGTTCCCCGTCCCGCAGGGGAGTCTCCACACTGTGACCCGTTCCTCGTCCCACAGGAAGCCTTTTCACGGTGACCCGTTCCCCGTCCCGCAGGGAAGCCTCCACACTGTGACCCGTTCCCCGTCCCACAGGGAAGTTTCCACACTGTGACCCGTTCCCCGGTCGCACAGGAAGCCTCCACACTGTGACCCGTCCCCCAGTCGCACAGGAAGCCTCCACACTGTGACCCGTTCCCTGTCCCACAGGTAAGCCTCCACACTGTGACCCGTTCCCCGTCCCACAGGGAAGCCTCCACACTGTGACCCGTTCCCCGTCCCACAGGGAAGCCTCCACACTGTGACCCGTTCCCCAGTCGCACAGGAAGCCTCCACACTGTGACCCGTTCCCTGTCCCACAGGGAAGCCTCCACACTGTGACCCGTTCCCCGTCCCACAGGAAGCCTCCACACTGTGACCCGTTCCCCGTCCCACAGGAAGCCTTCACACTGTGACCCGTTCCCTAACCCACAGGAAGCCTCCACACTGTGACCCGTTCCCCGTCCCACAGGGAAGCCTCCACACTGTGACCCGTTCCCCGTCCCACAGGAAGCCTCCACACTGTGCCACTAAAACGTGGACAGGCTCAAGTAGTGTTTGTATGTGCAGAGAGACCAGAGACGGATCACTTGTAGATCCATTGATGGATGGATGTCATGATCTTATTGGTTCAAACTGGTTGGTACTTGCACACACACTTCCCTGGTCTCATATTATTCAATAGGTGCAAACTAAATAAAGTAAGACCAGATTTGTTTGGGAACATTTTGATTGGCTTTCAAAATGTTATTTTTGCTAACAGCATTAGCAGAGCAAACACAGCTGGGAACAGCTGCCTCCAGCGTGCAGTATTCTCACATGCAGGAACATGAAGCAAAGTGTGTGAACACTTTTTAACAGATGTTAATGTCACAATGCAGCTCCATTAAGTGGGAGATATTCACACTAAGACCAACAAGTCCTTGTTTCGTATTGCTGCGCTGAGGGAAATGGCCTCTTCTCCTCCACAGCACATCGGCTGCTACGTCTCTGTTCTGAAATCCAACACTCCCCTCTTGTGGCAGCAATAAGTGATCTTTGTATGTGACATCTGAGTCCTGTGTGCCATTGTTGTACAGTGCTGTCAATCATCATGACCATTGAGAGTGATCAGTTTGACTCAATGCCACAAACATTCCTCTTCCACCGGTGGACGTCCTGCTCTTACCGGCATTTGAAACCTTTAAGGCTCATTCTGAAGTGTCTCGTGGGATGTGATGGATGTCTGGCCTGTGCGCCCTGCCGGAGGAGAACCATGTCTTTGTAATGTCTTGTTGTCTCGTCCCGTCTTCCACAGTGTATTCAGTGGGTGTGATCGCTGCGGCCATCTTCCTCATCCTGCTGCTCATGGGCCTCGTCATCGCCGTCACGGTGGTCTGCTACAAGCGCAGGGAGGCGGCTCAGCACAGCGGAAAAGAAGGAATGCCCCTCCAGGATGTTTAGACACACACACACACATACTGTGGTGACATGCGGTACAGCTGATAGAGTCCAACATTTCACTGTCAAACACTGGAATCAATCCGTCCTCTAGTTTCTGTGAAACTGCCCCTCAACACGTTAAACATATTTAATCCTTTTGTCATTTAATGCTGCAGAAAAAAGCACTGTTTGAACACTAGTCATACTGCCGGGACTGTAATATTCTATATGTATATTTCTTATTTCTTTTCTACTTGGTGATGGGTACCTCTGATGACTGTAGATCAGTACATAAACACTGCCAACTGATTGTATTTTATTTATTTGATAGTGCATTGGAGTTTAGGGAACTAGTGAAAGTGTCTGATACACAGTATCAGTACTACATAATTGTGTTTAATTGAAAGTATTTGATGTATAACACTTTTGTATATGATGGAATATTTGAGCTTTTCTATACTGCAGGTTGTTGCAGATAATTCCATGTTGAAGAGATAATAAATATTTTACTGAAGACTTCCAAGTTGTACATTAACATTTAGTTAGAGGATGATCGCGTCAAACAGAATGTAAAGAAATCATATGTACGTAGTATCATTTGTCTTTATAGTGACCCGTGACCAGAGCAGGTATGGAAAAGTATAACATCTGTTCTTTGAAATGAATTGATGACACCAGATGTTCATTGTGTGGTTTATATTTGTGGAAGTGGGAAGCAGAGCAGCATCTTGGTATGAGAAGTGGAAGCAACATTTTCCTAAACAAAGTCATTGAATGCAGATGATTAGTTTAAGAGAACTTGTTGAAATGAGTTCCAGTGTTCAGAGTTCATCTACCATCCAGCAGAAAGGTTTTCTCGTATGAACACGTAGAAAGTAATAACCAGTTGCAGGGAGTTATTAACAGAACGCGACCTGTTGAGAGAAACCTGTGTGCTTCTCTGTGACAATAAATAACCAAACTGAGTTGATCAAAGAAAAATGTAGTAGTAATGGAATGTTGAAGAATAACATAATAAGAATAGTGTTTATTAAGTGATCGAAGTCACTCTGAACAACACACACTGGACATTTGTGCTGAAAGTATAACAATTGGTCATCGTATGTTGCTTTGTGTGTGCAACTGTGCATCAAACGTGTGTTTGTCGCTCTCGACAAACGGAGGGAAAATTGAGTTAATTAGTGATGCAACCCAAAACCCTCCACCAATCAGCCCGGATAGATTAAAAAGCTCTTCATAGAAGCAAAGTCAGCCAACAGAATTCAACCTATATATTATTAAAATCAAATAAATACAAAATATGCATGTGATGTCATAAATGGTAAGAATCTGCAGGAGCAGTTGAGATGTGAGACTGAGATTGTGTTGCCATCCTGACAAAATGACAAAGGACAAACATTTTTTGCTGAGAAGAAAAGTACTGGCCCAAACTATATATTACAACTTGAAAGATAAGGAAAAATCAAATTGTAATCAAGAACAACAAGACACGATGTCTAACCCTCCTTATGATTCCATTTGATTTGTTTATTTTTCAGTCAATGTGTTTAGTCCAAGTTTTCCTCAATAATAAAACAAAAAATGTTGTTGATGACACTTGAGGCATCTCAAGGGATTCAATTAAAATTTTCGTGAAAACCATTGAGTAAGATTTTTGGCCACAGAAAATCATGAAATTCAATTTTTTGATATTTAAGGATAGCTTATTTAATTTGAGTCATGTAGCATTGGCAGTTAATTCAGCATTGGATTCCATAATCAGTGAATTCAAATTTAAATGAGAGAGGTTGTGTCGTCTGCAAACATCATTGGAAAAAGGCTTTGTGACAAATCATTTATATAAACTAGAAATAACAACGGACCAAGAATGGACCCCTGAGGAACCCCACATACTAGTCTAGCTTTGTTTTAACACAAACAAACTGTCTTTTGTTGGCGACTTTTTAGCCATTTGTATAAAATGTCATAGAATCCATATGCATGAAGCCTATCTAATATATATCTAATAGGATATTATGGTTTACTGTGTCGAAGTAAGATCTATGAAAGTGCACATAAATTCATTATTGTCCAGAACTGAGATAACTTTCTCAACAAGGTAAAGTAAACCCATGTATGTTGAAGGATTTTTATGGAAACCATACTGGTGTTTGTATAGAATTACATTAGACTCTATATAAAACATCACCTGTATATGCTCAATTTTTGAAAACCACGGCAATGTAGAAACGGGTAACATTACATTACATAATATTGGTGGATATTGTCAGCTAAATCCTGACTAATGTTTACAAAGAATTTGTTACATTTTCGAGCACTATCAAAAGGTTTGTCAAGGGACTTGTCACCATCGAGAGTCGTTTTTTCTCTTTGCAGAACCTGTTTTATTACTTTCCATGTATTTTTTATATAATTTGAACACTTAAGAAATGTTACTCTGAAATATTTCTTTTTTGCAGATCTAATGCTATGGGTATAATTATCTCTACGTGATTTACAGCCACCGTGAGTAAGAAGAGAAGATATTTTTTAAATAATTTTATCTCATTTTTTTTCTTCGGTAGATTCTTAAGATGCATTGTGAACTAAGGCTTACCAACTTGTGAGCTCTTTTTGCTACTACAAATTGGGAAACACTCATTGAAACCAAAGTTACTAACTTTTACAAACTTCTGATGAGGGAAATCAGTGTTATTTTCCACATATAAATCTTCCCACGGAATACTGGTAGGAAAATCTTTACATTTACAAATATTTGATTTGCTCATAATTCTTTTCTGCACCATTTTCTTAGTATGTTCCGCTCTCTTAATCTCCACTAACAAACATTGAAAAATGGTCAGACAAGTCGGAAAACAAAACTCTAGACTTCCTTTACTCAAAGAATTGGTTAAGATGTTATCGATCAAAGTCACTGAATTTTCTGTAACTCGTGTTGCTTTATGGATAAGAGGAAAAAAGGAACTAGAGTAAAGAATATCAAGAAAATCCCCAGTAAGAGTACGTAGGTGGATGAGAGAACAACCCAGACTGTCCTTGAAAACTTTGATCATGATGAGTCAGCTGGGCGATACATAGCACCAACAATAACATTTTGTCCACCAGAGAGCTCTCTGATTTCAAAGTGAGATCATCCCTGATTTTAAAATCAAAGTCACTATGAATAAACAGAGATACTCCACCTCCAGATTTATTCCCTCTTACATGATGAATTGGAGTTCAGATATTTATATCTGGACGGGGGATGTCGTATGTGTACAGACTGTAAAGCCCTCTGATTAAAACTAGTTTGTGGTTATGAATTGAACACACTCAGTGAGATGCTGGTACAAATAAGGCAGCAGCGGGTGAGGACAGTCATGGGACCTGAAACAATCAGTTTAAAACAACTCGGATTTGACCCCATGACTTTTTGACCCCATATGCTTTCCTCTGTTCCCTGGTCGGCCACATGAGCAAGATCACACAATAAGACAGATTCACATTTGAGGGGTGGGTGAAAATGATTAAATTATCTCAGGTTAAACTGGTTTGACTTAAAGGCCAAATGAGTGGAAGAGGGCTGCTAGCTTTTGTTTGTCTGACCATGTTGGTCCCGTTTGATAACCACCAGTGGTGAGGCGTAAAGCCATCTGAGCGGAGATATTGCCGTTGTGGTGGTGGTGGTTTCCAGCATCACGTACTGGGGTATTCCAGTAGAGGGGGGCAGGAGGAGACCCTATTAAACGTATACTGCGGAGGATAAACCATGGCGACGTCATTGTGAATGTGATGCATCGGAGCTGGACTTTTTCCACAGTTGTTTATCCAGTTTAAAATGAGTGATTTAACCAACAGTTACACAATCTTGCTGCGTTTGACTCATGAATGAATGAGTTACCAAGAAACCAGGAGACATTTTAAGACAATAAAGGATTTACATTCAGAACAGAACATTAGACCTCAACATTAGACAGTAGTTTCTTCCCTTCACAGGATTATAACTCTAGAATCCTCAATTTGCAATCTGTGGACAGTAAACTGGATCTTTCTCTTTTGGATAAACCATAAATAAATACACATGTACACCAGTCATGTACACCAGAGAGATTAAAACTACCTGAAAACATAACTTGTAGTTGATGTGCAACTTTTTCATGTTAGATATGAGGGCCGACCCGCTGGAACCCCACATTTTGGGAAGGATTATTGTCAATATAAAATAATCCAATCCAATGTAGGATTATATTCGGCCCCTTCTCTAAACTTTCCCTTCATACAATTCCAAAGGTCTTTTTCTCTCTCATTGAGAACTTGTTGAGGACAAAACAAGCGTTTATGATCGTCTTATCTAAAGCAACTTGACTCAAACTGATCTGTGAAAATCTGCAGACCTGAAATCTGCTGCAACACGTTCAGAGCCGGGCAGACGAGAACATTTACTAATCCGAAGCAATCGTATTGGGTGGTTACCTGGATTGGTGCCGAGTGCCAATTTGGAAATCAGTTAAAATGAGTCTTTTTCAGAACAACTGTACATTTTGCTGCTCCACTGAATGTGCCAGCTTTGTCCGCTACACATTCTTGACACCATTGATGGAGAAGTGACTGAATGCAACTCCAACGCTGTATGTATGACGCATTCAGCCTTCTCCAAACTGAACATGGACTTGATCTATAGCTGCTGGTACTGAGACTGTCCATGACTGGAGCCTCAGAGCTCCATCTTGCCACCAAGTGAAACTACTTCCTGTTATACGTAGGATGAGTTACTTATTCATGTCTTTGTTTCATTGGACTTAATCCCAGTGACAGCTTGGAGCCTTAGTTTGTAAACTGAGATATTTTGTTGCACAACTCCCTGATTGACAGTTAATTTAACCAATCGTCATGACGATGCGGTCTGATGAGCAGAGCGGGTGAACAACACGCACTAACAGCATGACCGATGCTCTCCGTGCTCTGCTCAGGTGAACATTCTCCACTGAATGGACCGCACTTGTATTTGTCTTCTCTTCAGACCACTCAGACTCAGCTGTCCACTCGCTGATGACAGGCGCTACCTTACAGTGACACCTAACGTTCACACACTGTAGTCACACCTACACATCTTCAGACCACTCACTCAGCTGTCCACTCGCTGATGACAGGCGCTACCTTACAGTGACACCTAACGTTCACACACTGTAGTCACACCTACGGGAGCAACGGGGGGTTTAAATGTCCCGAGGACACATGGATTTGCACCCTCTTATTTCTTGTATTCCATCTGAACATTGACATTTATAGATATAGACATGGATCAAAAATATCTGTACGTGGGTAAAAAATGATTTGCTTCTAAATCAATGTTCCACTCCTTTAAGGGAGGAAGGGGACTCATCGTGCCACTGAAGGTAGAACCTTGGCACAAGAGCCAGGCACACACACACACACACTTTTATTAACAGTTTAATGTATTAAGAGTGAGCTCATTACAGCATCATAACCAATATAAACCATGTTATCACCGAGGCTGCTTCTTTACATTTTTAATTCCTCATCAATGTCTCAGAGCAGAGGGATGTCGTCTGTACATTAGTGGACATAAGTCATCTATACACTCGAGCCAGTTCTCAGCTACATGTCAAATCAGTATCAACACAGTAGTCCAACATCAATATACATTTCATACCAACTTCCAATTTCCGTTCCTTTGAACTGCATGGACAAATAATCAACAACCTAGTTTGTAAAGCTGAGCCCATCTGAGCAAAGAGGGGCTGGTATTCATGTTGCCCCCCCACCACAGCTTGAAGCCATGTTGCTTTGTTCCAATCACAATCAATAGTCGGCCTTTGACTCGTGGATGAAAGCTCAGTCGGGTCAGAGCAGCTGCCACATAAACCCAAAGTTCATTTGCCGTCTCTCTATTATGGAGCAATGGCAAAGAAAAGGGGATGAAGCAACATGTTTAGTGGGTTAGTGGGTTTTTTTTGTCAAAAGAGCCAAATGTCAAAGTTAAACTGTATTGAAAGTGTTCTCTGATCACAAATCCCTTTGCAGAGATCCAACTGGAACTAAGTCATTTTGTCCCCAATTGAATGCAGGCGTGTCGGCCGTCATTTGACTCATCATTCACCCCCTTTACTGCCATGTTATTGGGTCAGCACTTCACCATGTGATGTTTACAAGTCTCCTTACGTCAGGAGAGTTTTCTGTACTCGGTGGGATCTCTACACCATTAACACCATTTATTTTTGAATGAGCAGAAGTAGCAGGTAAGCCGGTCATCGTCACATAACTCGGACTACTTTAAGGTGTCTAGATCATTAACAGTTTCTCTGTTATTTCTAGGGAATTCCAATCATTCCCAGCTTTAATAAGAACCAACAAGGGATACTAACGTTAGTAATAATGTCGTGGCAGGCACAGATGATTAGAACGATGTCGTACATTTCTACCGTCACTCACACATGTTACGTGTGTAAAACGACTTACACGTTGGCAAAATAAATAACGTTTGTTTTTCCAATTGCACCGAACGAATCCATGATTAGTATGGACTAAAGTGATGATTTAAATAACAAAGAAAGGAAACGTGATTATAAACATTATTTTCTAGAAGTGCAAATCATTAGTGGGCTGGTTTTATTGAGCAGCAGCAGCCACTTAAGAGCCAAACTCCACGGTTTCCTCCGAGATGGGCTTGAACTCGTAGTTTCCTCTCCCGTCCATGTGGAGATAATACTTGATGACAGAGTAAAAGAAGAGTCAGTAGGAGGCGGCAGCATGCTCACAGGTACAAGCTAAGCACATGTGTCGTGATAATCCGATCAATAGAAAGCAGCATTACTGTGTGAATGAGAGCAGGAAGCATCCTTACCTCGTGGTGCTTCCACAGAGACTTTCTATGGGACACTGTGAACAGGGTGATGCCCACCTGAGGATCAAAGGACACACAGCTAGTACCGGCCTACAAACACACCACCCTCCTCTACAGGATGGGAGGCCACGAATGGGCCGACCCAGAGACAAAGACACTGACTTTGATTAGCAGATGATTAATGCGTCTCTGCTGCCACACCAACAGGTTAGATCCAAAACCCAGTACTACCATTTGTAGATCAAGCTACAATACATTTGACTCCAAATGATCAAAAGCTGAGCTGCTCGCTGTTTCCATCTGATGGAAGCTGCTTAGGAATCAGGAATCAGGAAACATTTAATGCCAAAATATGTCAAACATACAAGGAATTTGTCTTGGCAGTTGGTGCGTGACAGTAGACAGACAAGACAACAGTGCACAGGTAATAAAATAAAATGAAATGCTAATGCAATGGGTTAGTAGAATAAGGCTGTGGGTTAGTATAAAACAAGAAGTTAGTTAAAAATGTAAAATATTAAAAAAGTAAAAAAATATATTAAGGATAAAGTGCACTAGCGAAGAAGTAACAAAGTGACGACAAAGTGATGAATTACAGTTAAAGTGACATGTGCAGTGTGAGGGGGAGTGACCGGTGGAATGTTATAGTCAGTCAGTGGGGGACCGGGCTCTGTTGATGAGAAGAAACTGTTGGTGTGGCGGGAGGTCTTAGTCCTGATGGACCTCAGCCTCCTGCCAGATGGAAGGGGCACAAACAGGTTCTGTCCGGGGTGGGAGGGGTCGGCTACCATCTTTTTAGCTGCTTCAGAGACCTGGAAGCGAACAAGTCCTGCAGGGACGGCAGATTGCAGCTGATCACCCTCTCTGCAGAGCGGAGGACACGCTGAAGCCTGCCCTTGTCCTTGGCTGTGGCTGCAGCGTACCAGACGCTGATGGAGGAGCAGAGGATGGACTCCATGATGGCCGTGTAGAAGTGGACCATCATCGTCTTTGGCAGGTTGAGTTTCTTCAGCTGCCTCAGGAAGAACAACCTCTGCTGAGCCTTCTTGGTGATGGAGCTGATGTTCAGCTCCCACTTGAGGTCCTGGGTGATGATGGAGCCCAGCAAATGGAAGGAATCCACAATAGTGACTGGGGAGGGTGGGGCTCTGTTCCTCCTGAAATCCACAACCATCTCCACTGTCTTTAGAGCGTTGAGCTCCAGGTTGTTCTGGCTGCACCACGACACCAGATGGTCGGACTCCCACCTGTAGGCGGACTCGTCCCCACCAGAGATCAGTCCAATGAGGGTGGTGTCATCCACAAACTTCAGGAGCTTGACGGACTGGTGACTGGAGGAGCAGCTGTTGGTGTACAGGGAGAAGAGCAGAGGGGAAAGAACGCAGCCTTGGGGGGAACCGGTGCTGATGGTCCGAGAGGCTGAGACATGTTTCCCCAGCTTCACGTGCTGTTTCCTGTCAGACAGGAAGTCTGTGATCCACTTGCAGGTGGAGTCGGGCACGTGCAGCTGGGAGAGTTTGTCCTGCAGCAGAGACGGGATGATAGTGTTAAAAGCAGAGCTGAAGTCCACAAACAGGATCCTGGCGTAGGTTCCTGGGGAGTCCAGATGCTGGAGGATGTAGTGGAGGGCCATGTTGACAGCATCGTCCACAGACCTGTTGGCTCTGCAGGCGAACTGCAGGGGGTCCAGGAGGGGGTCGGTGAGGGACTTCAGGTGGGTCAGGACTAGCCGTTCAAAAGACTTCATGACTACAGAGGTCAGGGCGACGGGCCTGTAGTCATTGAGTCCTGTGATCCTGGGCTTCTTGGGGACAGGGATGATGGTGGAGGCCTTGAAGCAGGCTGGTACGTGGCATGTCTCCAGGGAGGTGTTGAAGATGTCAGTGAACACCGGAGACAGCTGGTCAGCACAATGCTTCAGGGTGTGAGGGGAGACGGAGTCCGGACCGGCTGCCTTACGGGATTTAGTCTTCTAAAGAGCCGGTTAACGTCTCTCTCCAGAATAGAGAGGGTCGTTGCTGGTGGGGGAGGGGAAGGTGATAGAGTTGAAGAGGCGTGAGCACCTGATGGGCTGGGGGAGGGAGGGGAGGGGGACTGCAGCAGGTTGGTGGAGCTGTGGGGGATGGGATCAGGACATTGTCTTTCAAATCTGCAGTAGAACTCATTGAGCTCGTCTGCCAGGCGGAGGTCATTCATGGAGTGGGGGGTTTTTGGCTTGTAGTTGGTGAGGTGTTTGAGGCCTCTCCAAACCGAAGCAGAGTCACTTGCTGAGAACTGTTGTTGGAGTTTCTCAGAGTACAGTCGTTTAGCGTCTCTCACCACCTTGCTAAACTTTATTTTGCCTCTGTGTACAAGTCTTTGTCCCCACTCCTAAATGCCTGATCCTTCTGCAGACGTAGTGTTCTGAGCTCCGCTGTGAACCAGGGTTTGTCGTTGTTGTAACTCACCCTGGTGCATGATGGTACACAGCTGTCCTCACAGAAGCCGATGTAGGAAGTTACAGCCTCTCAGGAAACATTTATTAGCCAAAATATGTCAAACATACAAGGAATTTGTCTTGGCGGTTAGTGCGCGACAGTAGACAGACAAGACAACAGTGCACAAGTAATAAAATAAAGTGGAATGAAATGCTAATGCGATGGGTTAGTAATTGTGAACTCTGTGAACTCATCCAGACTGTCAGTAGCAGTCCTGAAAACATCCCAGTCTGTGCAGTCAAAGCACTGGTCCACTTCTTGAATTCCCTCAGCACAGGTTTGCAGAGCTTTAGTTTCTGCCTGTATGCAGGAATCAGATGGACCATGACGTGGTCAGAGTGTCCCAGTGCAGCACGAGGGACGGCGTGATGAGCCCTGCTGACTGTGGTGTAACAGTGATCCAGCGTCTTCTCCTCTCTGGTGGGCATTTAATAAACTGTCTGTATTCAGGGAGTTCATGGGTGAGATTTCCTTTGTTAAAGTCCCCGAGGACAATAACTAAAGAGTCCGGGTTGGTCCGCTCCACACGCCGTATCTGGTCGGCGAGTGTCCGCTGAGCCTCGTGCACGTTGCCCGCCGGCGGCATGTAAACACCGACCAGGATGAATGAAGCGAACTCACGGGGGAATAAAAGGGTTTGCAGTTGATGAAGAAAGTTTCCAGATCAGGAGAACAGTGTTGTAGGATCACCGTTACGTCGTTGCACCAGCTGTTGTTGAAGTAGAAGCAGATTCCTCCACCCTTCGTCTTGCCGGAGAGCTCCGTGTCGCGGTCCGCTCGGAGCAGCTGGAAGCCCGCCAGCCGGAGCGCGGAGTCCGGTATCGATCCACAGAGCCACGTCTCCGTGAAGCACAAGACGGAGGATGTAGAGAAGTCTCTGTCTCTCCTCACCAGCAGCTGAATTTCCTCCAGTTTGTTGCACAGTGAGCGCACGTTGGAGAGAAAGATGCCCGGCAGCGGAGTGCGAGAACCACGCCTGCGGAGTCTCACCAGCGAGCCGGCCCGTTTTCCTCTCCTACGGCGTCTCACCGCGTGACGAAAGGTGAGCGCACCTTTGACTAGAATGTCCAGTAATTCCACGGAAGAAAGCAGGAAAGTTGGAAGTAACTCCGCTGGAGTTGTTCCACGGATGTTCAAGAGCTCATCTCTGGTGAAAGAGCTCCGGGAATCGCAGCAGGAAACGTAATTAACCACAAAAACAACAAAAACGAAGCGCACCGAAGCACCGTGGCGGCCATCAACGGCGCCATCTTACTACTACTACTACTACTACTACTCTGGCCTTTGAACATTTAGGGGTCTTTGCAGAGTTACGGGGGCAATTATTGCCATAATGATATGTGTCATTCAAGGTAAAGTGGTATTATCTTTTAAGAAATCTGTTTAGGGGGGATGTGTGAAAGATGCCCGAGGCCCAGCTGAGACAGTGTAGTTCCAGGGTGGTCATGTGATGTTGACCTTTGACTGGTTGGGGCCGACGGGGTAAAGTACAGATCTTATCTAATTGCAGAATCCAGCATACGACATGCTGTGTCCAACTACTACATCGTTAATGTCTGGAGCGCACAGTTGGAGCTTGTCCGTACGCTAGAAAGGTCACATCTCACCACATGTTCCATAGCAGGTTTTTCATATAATAGAAACTGGTTGTTATTGATGGCTGATTTAAGGATTATTTTTCACGCTTTGATTTTTCACTCACTTTGCACACATGGTGAAATTAGGCATCTGATTTTTATGAGTTACAGGTTTAATTGAAATTTGACAGGTTGCTCTACAAAAAAAGCCTCTTGGACTCCGAAGCTCCGCCCCCCAAAATGTAAATTGTTAGCAAACTCCTACACGCTCCGATTAACACCACATGTGCTCCTTGATGTCTCATTGCATTCAGACGACAGCTCCCTGAGGGGCGGGGCCTGTCCATCAGCAGTCATCACATCTAAACTGTTCTTCCCTGGATATGTGGACATATGGAACATTCCTAGAGCTTTTTATGTCATTCAACCCACTGCAGGGTGATACTGTGTGTGTGCGCAAACCGCCCCACCTTTACATGTTTTTTTTTGTTTTTTTTAGCACCCCAGTCCTTTCAATACCAGTTCTAATAAAGCGTCCCCACGTTTAGGTAATGCAGAAAACAGGAGTGCTGCAGAAATATGGCAGCTGCTGTACGACACAGAGCTGAATGTGAGTGAGATTTATACTGTAACTTTTTGTTAAACCACTTGTGTATCATATTCAGGGTGGTTAATAGTTTACAAAGCCCAAGAGGAAATAAGAAAATGAGTCTTTTGTCTGCCGCTGCCAGTATAGAGCTTTGATTTGTGTGTTTGCGTTGCTGAACAAGTAAAAACAACAATACATCATCTGCTATGCAAACAATGAAGACGTGTATTTGTGGGACGTACCGTCCTGCAGTGGCTGTAGATGAAATCCTCCACATCCACACTCACTGCACTGGTGCACTCGTCAAGAATGGCAAACTGGGGTTTGTGGTAGAAGAGCCGGGCCATCTGCATATGTGAAGGGAAACAGACACAACTAGTAAATAGAAAGTGAATACAGTTGGTCCTTTGCTGTGAGGAGCCATACCGTTCTTGATGAACTGATTGGGACAGATTGATAGACCAAATCAAGTGCCAGAAGTAGTGACGTAACGGACCCCTGATGATCCGTACGGATCCCTTTTACATGTGAACGGGTGATTAATGACACTTTAATGAAGTAAAGGTTCAATAATTCAGTAAGTTACATGTGCAGAAAATGTAAAGCACTCTGAGGCTAATTTGTCATTTATTATTTTGAGCTATAAAACCCGACATCCCGACCTCTGACCTCTCCGCTCTGCATGTGATAAACTGCTTGTTCCTCCTCACTGAGAGCAAAACACTCGACTAGATCTCCACTCTTTGCTGTCCTGCTTCTAAATGGTGGAAGGAGGTCTCTGAAGACATCAGGACCACAGAGAGTCTTCACATCTTCAGACTTAAGACACACCTCTTCAGACTCTACCTCCACTAACACACTAACTAACTGTACCACTTACATTGGACTTATAATGGTTCTTCTCTACAGCAAGTTGGAAAGTGGCTTATTTGATGAAATCACACTTTCTTGTTTCTTGTTCTTCTGACTTTGTGTCCTTATGGTTGAAACGCTCTTATTGTAAGTGGCTTTGGATAAAAGGGTCAGATAAATGACATGTGATGTGATGTAATGACATGTGATGTAATGAAGAGAAGACAGACAGTTCATAGAGACTTGTTCCAAATGGCAAAACCTTTTGTGCGAATGCATGTTAATAAATACATTTGACTGATTTTCAGTGGAGGCCTTTGTCAGTGGGTTTAACTTAACTTAAATAAGGCGGTCATATCCAAACTTAAATATCTGTATCAAACAAAGAACTCAGAGCAGTTAACAGCAGTCTTTCATCCGGACCCAAGGCAGGATTGGATTCCCAATCTCGACCACTTTAGCTCAGTAACAGGGAGCCGTATTACTGAACACGGTGACAAATAATAATCGGTAAATATGGATCAGCAATGAGCTAAAAAGCTATACAATTGTGCCATTATACAAGGTTTGCTTCCGCGGTGATATGATCCAAAGCGTCAGTCACTTTCCTTTGACCACCACCAAGTATTACATGATGGTCCAGGGTTCAGGGTCCATGGCAGTGTGCGCTGGGAGAGGTCCACACCGACCCGACTGGGACTGCCACAATAACTACTTGTTGTGCAATACGTAGCACCAAAATGAATTGCGATAAACCGTATTATTGTAATTTTTAGACCCGTTTATGCCGTGATTACACACATACTGACAATAGCGAAATAACACAACTCTGCTCTTTCAAAGAACAAAGAACATTTAGACATTAGAACCTCAATGTGAAAAATATAAATATTGTCCCTGCAGAATAAATGAAATAAAACCAATAAATAAGAAATACACCTTTGTATTTGCAGAGCATGCGATAAGTCAATGCATGGACTATCTGAGAATCAATGTTCAACCTGAAGGACTAAGGAGAGTTAGTGAGTCCTTACAGCCATCCTCTGCTTCTCTCCTCCACTGAGCACATCCATCCAGTCCTGGACTGAGTCCCAGCTGCCCTCCCTGTCCAGGATGTGACCCAGCTGCACGTTGTCCAGATACTCTTTCAATATCTGGACACACAGACCAGACGATGCGAGTCATTAGAAACACACACACACGGGCTGTGACAGTGTGTGTGTGTGTGTGTGTGTGTTGTGTCTCACGTGGTCGGGGATGCCTTTCTGCTGCTGATCTTCATGGGTGTCGGGGTAGATGACCTGGTCCCTCAGAGAACCCAGAGTCATGTAAGGCCTCTGCACAAAACAGCACTTATTAAAAAGAGTCATTGAAGTAAACACTGTGTGATGTGTGATTTTATCTGTGGAAGTTTGCTTATGGATTAATATATTTATAAACATGTTTCTTTATTTATTGTTTGTCTATCAAACATATCGGTGTCAATGTGAATATGATAATATACATCTATGTGCTATTGGCTGCAGTTTGCTCATGTTTCAGTTCAGATCAATTACATCCTTTTTCCCCTGTATTTGTAATAGGATTATTGACCATATGTGTACATGCAGGGCTGTCAATAGATTAAAACAAATGAATCACACATTAATCGCGATGAATGAAAATAGCATAATAACGCAATTGTGCTCTTTCAAAAAACAAAGAACATTTTATTCTTCAGAATATTTAGACATTAGAACGCCTTAGAGTATCGTTGGACGGCTGTGTTTCTAGTGCCAACAATGTCCCCACATTTAGCCAGGACGCTTTCAAACCACTGTGTGCCACGCAGAGTAACGTTAGATGTTGAGATGGAGGTAGCCTAGCAGCTAGCTTAGCGTTCTCTGATAACTAACTGGCTGCGGCTTCGTTTCCGGGTTTCCGGCTGCGTTACGTGGCATTAATCTGGGCCACATTAATCGCATAGATGGAGTGAAGCTGGAGATATTTACCTGTGGAACGTAGAAGAGCTTCCCTCTCTCAGGTTTGGTCAGGCGTCCTCCAAACAGAGGCCACAGCTTTCAAAGGACATTCAGTTGCTTTGTTTATGCCCAAATAGAAATCTGCACGCACAACATATGTACTTGTAGTGGTTTCTCACCTCTCCCAGCACTCTGAACAGCGAGCTCTTTCCACAGCCATTTGGTCCGCACACCAGAACGTTGGTGCCAGACCTCACCTACAGAGGGCAGAGAAACACTGGATGATGGGATACAACATAACACAATCGCATTCATTTCTTCATCAACTGGGTCAGCATCCTTTACCTCAAATGTGAGGTCTCTGATCAGGACGTCTCCGTTGGGCGTTGCCAGGGGTGCATGGTCGAATCTGCAAAAGCAAATGTTGCTTTAAATCTGAGCTCCTGAACAAAAGTCAATGATGTGCCACTGCACATTGCAGCACAGGATAAGGGACCTACTTGATGAGGTTATCTCTGTTGATAATGAGACCACTCCCAGGCACCAGTACCAGTTTCTCTGCCGTGTCGGATTCTATTGGGAATGAAATATACAAAAATTGTGTTCAACGCTTTGCCTCTCATTTGGGTCACATATGTCATTGTGATCAGAGTGCCGTGTACCCTTCTCCTGCTGGGACACCATGGTGCGTTCATATTTGCCAGCATTCAGCTCCCTCAAGACTTTCATCAGTTCAGTGATACGAGATGTAAATCTGTTAAGGACATACGCATGAGTACAAAAACATTTGACTTCATCAGGACAGATCACAGCTCTGTCTCAAATGGACCTCCAGGGCCTCCTTCTCAGATTGTGGTGAATTTGAGGTGTAGCTGCCCCGCCTCTGGCTCCGTCACAGCCGCTTTATTTATGATGGAGCAGCTTGCATCTCGGAAGAGTGAAATTCACTTTCAAGTTATTGCTGCTTGTATTGAAAAATGCAGTTAGAAAAACAAAGCAAGATGGCAGCGTCTCTCATGCGCGCTCTTGTACTTTGTCTATTTGTCCCGTCTCCAGCCTTTCCTCTGATCGCATTCAGCAGGGAGGAGCTTTATATACATCTATACACCGCCGTACTTCATCGCTCTGGAAAGGTTCACAGAGCTCTTGGTTGGAGAAGCAGCTGCTCTCCTCGGCTTTAACGGATTGTTCATAACAAACATCCTGTTTGAGTGACTTGATTCCCAAACAAAGGTACTGATGGACAGGTGGCACTGTGAAGGTGGCTCCTGTCATCAGTGTGTGAATGGAAGGTAGTGATGGACAGGTGGCACTGTGAAGGTGGCTCCTGTCATCAGTGTGTGAATGGAAGGTAGTGATGGACAGGTGGCACTGTGAAGGTAGCTCCTGTCATCAGTGTGTGAATGGAAGGTAGTGATGGACAGGTGGCACTGTGAAGGTGGCTCCTGTCATCAGTGGGTGAATGGAAGGTAGTGATGGACAGGTGGCACTGTGAAGGTGGCTCCTGTCATCAGTGTGTGAATGGGTGAATGGAAGGTAGTGATGGACAGGTGGCACTGTGAAGGGTGGCTCCTGTCATCAGTGTGTGAATGGGTGAATGCTGACATGTAGTAATAAAGAGCTTGGAGGAGTATTCGAGAGAGTATTTAGAAAGATTCTGACGGTATCCGTAATGTGATAGTATCGCTTTTTCAAGTAAACACATTAATTCATTGACCCCGAAAAGCATCGCGGCTAACTGAACAGTGTTCGTTCGTTAGCGTGTCTCTTCGTTAGCTTGTTAGCGTGTTCGTTCGTTAGCTTGTTCATTTGTTAGCTTGTTAGCGTGTTCGCTCAGTAGCGCGTTCGTTTGTTAGTGTTATTTTCAGAAACCAAAAACCTTCCTAACAGACTGAGCTCCTCTGTTGGACACAAGTTGTGTTGGTGCATCTCGGGTCTCTCCTTGTTCCTCTTTTCTGTGTTTTCATGTAGCAACAGAGTTACTTGTTGTTGTGAGCTGTACCCAGCATGCAGTTCGGCAATTATCAGTGTTACAAATAGTTTATGTGTCACAAGCTGTTGTGTCGTGGTGTTTTACCCAGTAGATTTGATTGATTCTCACCTAGGGACCTCTGTTGCAGTCTAAGAATTCTTTGACCTATGACCTGGGCTCCGTTTCCAGAAGCGAGTTTAGTGGAAACTCAGAGTTTGTTAACCCTGAGATGAGGGATACTCTGGCTTGTCTCTTTCCCAAAAAGGAGGTGACTAAAGCTCAGGGTCACTTTACACATATGAACACAATAAGATGTTACGTTAAAGACTAAAGTGTTTACTGGAACATGTCGCGTCCTTTTCCGGACGATCCTGTTGATTAAATATTAATAGAAAGGTCAAACAAATCAGGGATGTTTAGATATTTGCCTCTCATGGCCAATTGTTATCCAGTTTTGTGGGACCGGCAGGTAATATGATATATATTGTGGAACACTCACCCTGAGAGACGGGTCATCTCTCTGCCTGCCAGTACGATCCTGCCCAGCGCCTGAGACAGTCTCAGGAGCATCCTCCCACTCTGGTAGTAATCCTACAGGCACATCAGTGACACCTCAGAGCCCCAAAAGGCAGCACTGCAAAGCATCCTCCTGGACGCTTTCCACCAGGGAGCCACGTGTGGCATCATTGTAATAAGCATCGACATTGGAGAGCAATTCCATTCGTAGTCAGACTGATGTCTTAGCATTATTTCACATGTTGCTGTGTGTGTGATTTCTCTGACCTCGAGAAGCTCAGAGTGCGTGCTGTGCAGGTGTCGGGGATGTGACGGGGTGAGGAAAGGCCGGCTAACCACCAAGTAGCCTACTACAGTGGCCACGTCTGCACGGGAGGACATGTGGACATTTTAGAAACACAAAAACACTCTAATGCTTAAATTCACACACATTGTAATCTGACTAGATGTTTGACATGTGAAACGTAGGCCACCTGGCCGCTACTGGCACAGATGTCAGACCAAGGACAATCAACACTATGGTCCCCATACACTCTGACCGCGGACTGTCCTACAGAGACACGGGCTGAATAAGACAAGCTGCAGCTGTTCAGGGAGGAAAAAAGGGTTATAGGAAAGTAGTGTATTCGGTTTACATAAACGTTTGTTATATTCAGTCAATAGATGGAAATATTAATTGCTTATAGATGACTCACACCATGAATATCACGGGAAAGTCAATAGAAAATAGTAAATTAAATTACTTTATCGGTTTATTCATTTTTTGATTTGGTTTTGCTCGCAATTCTTTTCTATAACTTAATGTTGTTTGTAGCTGGGACAAGGGACACTGGTACAACCCGAATAAAAGACAGAAAGACATATCTACTTACATTTGGCAATCATGCTGTCCACAAATCCCATCGAGCAGCGAAAGAAGATAAAGTTATGCAAGTGGTCCACCTGCAAGGAGAGAAGGGACGTTCCTCTGTAAAGCAGCTTTAAGGTGCACTTAGCAGGAAGCCCGCTTTGAGGCGAGCAGCCCTTAATGGTCAGACCTCGTAGTGCTCCAGTCAGTCACATAGCAGAAACCAGCTGACGTTACATTGTCTTCTGAGGGGAAACCATTACACGGTGTGGTCACTGGTGCAACAAACAGAGTCCTGATTTATGTACCCACCAGCTTCTTGAATGTGCTGTAAATGGTCTGCTTTTCTCTGGTGTTCCCATTGTAGAATGCAATCTCCTCACTTTAGGGAAAGAGAAAAGATGAATGCGGCGTCGTGGCACCAGCTGTGCAGTACTGGCGCTGTAGCAGTGGAGGCCGTGCCAACCTGTTGGTGATGAGGCGGGAGTTGACGAAGCGGTACTCGCCCTCGTAGCGCTGCTCGGTGACGGTCATCCTGCCTATGGGCCTTCTCAGTCTGGTCAGGAAGAGGCCTGAGATGAGCAGGTAGCTCATCATGACGGCTGGGCCCTAAGTAGGAGACACACCAAGTCATTCCTACATGCAGCGTTTGGTCCTCTAAACAAGGAAACCAGGGTCAATATCAATTGGAGAAAAGCGGCTTTCATGTCAAAAGTGAAAACTATTTATTCAAAACTAATGTTAATTGATAAAAAATATACAGTGTAAAATGCATTTGGCAGGAATACTCTCGTTAACTAAAATGTACTAACATCTTTTACCATTGGGTTCGATTTGACCCCAGCAATTTAAACACCCACAAAACAATTCAAATTTTCCCCAAGTTTATGTATCGTTTGTTAAATAAAAGCATCACCCACCGCCTTAAACATCCGGGAATAGCCGTTAAGTGACTACGGGGAACTACTGTTCAGGTGGCTCCCCAGTGTTCACCTGCACATTCCAGGCTCAGCTACACTCGCTTGCAGAGTTTATATTTTCACTTTCAGGGCGAAGGAACGCAGCTACAGCTGTCACTCATGATTCCACGCCCCTCCCAGGTGATACCCCGCCCCCTACGCCACATCAGGGTCAAAAGTGGTGGTTCTATCTGATGGTGGTTGTCCCTGCAATATTGGAATCATTTCTGTTTTAAGAATTGAATGTATTGTTCATCTTTAACATTGTTCATTCTGCACACATGACATCCATTGTAGTCTGTCCATCCCGGGAGTGGGATCCTCCTCTGACGTTCTCACTAAGGTTTCTATCCCGTTTTCCCCATGAAGGGTTTTTCCTGTGCAGATGGACAGAGGATGTCGCATGTGTACAGACTGTAAAGCCCTCTGAGGCAAAATTGTAATTTGCAATTCTTGGCTATACAAAATAAAATGATTTGAAAAACCCCCACTTTTTTTTGTTTTTGGATCTGAGAGAAAAGCTACAATCTGCAACTGAAAAATACAGTGAGTATCAAAAAATAAATACAAGTCAAGAATGAAAAAATATATATATATATAAATACTTATTTTTAAGTATTAGACTTATTTTTATTTTGAATACATTGTTGTATTTTTCAATGTTCAACAACAAAACACATTTGTTTTTCAAATGAACAAAACCTTTGACCTGGATTTGGCTGCAGACACATGCTGCCCATATTTACATGCCATATTTGGCCTGTTTGCTGGGAACGTATTGTCTGAAACGCCACAGTCCCATACGCTCTCGTCGGCTCTGCCTTCCTCGGTCATCAAAGTGTATGACACGGCAGGTGTTCAGAGGCATGGTGGCCCCTCCAGTGTCAGCAGCCCAAAGGCTTGCTGTTTTTTTGCCTTGTGACTTGTACTCTCCTGCCAACGTAGAGTTGGAAAGTTGGTCACATCCAACTTTCTAACTCCCCACACACGCCTGCCCTCTACATTTGTCATCTCAAGTGTCAAATGTCATCAAGTAAATCCTTTTGATTGATGCTCAAAAGCTGATTTGAGGTTATGGACGTGGCTGACAGCGTACCTGGTGGGACCGGCAACATTTCGATGACATTAGAAGCAAAGTCTACCTGTTGTTCAGATGGGGGAACGGACCATAAGAACTTTTCCCTTTGTCATCAGAGGACAACGCCTCATAATCAGGATACTCCTCGACATCATCCCCCGTTAACACACCAAACCCAAATTGATTCAAATGTTTACTATTTGATAATGATTTTGTATCTGACCTGTAGACGAACGTACATGTTTTATACAGCTAAAACAGCCTGTGGCCAAAGAATATTGATGCGTACAGCATGTGTACAGGACATTGAAAACACCAGCTGTCCCCATTAAAGTTAGGAAAAGTCATTTAAAAAAAAAAGGCATTTATAGACGGTCCTATTAAAGTTACGGTTTACCTCCCTGCCTGAGGGGGTTGCTGTTATTATCTGCATTGCTTAGTGATTGGACGTCGGTGTATAAGAGGGATCCTGTCGGTGCCAGCCCGCCCCTAATGCCGGTCTCTCCAGCCTCCAACCGGGCCATGCTGCACCTCACAGATCTTTGGGTGGTGGGGTTGGCAAGGGGGTCAGCAGTGGTAGGGGTGAGACGCCCTTTTGTTTGACCATGTATTCTCTTGTTTTTGGGTAAGGCGATAGGTAAGAAACCTGTACTTTTGTTTGTTCCTTTGTGTGGTCTAGGGAAGTTAGGTGACCTGCACACATTGTTTTGGTTGTTGTTTTGGGCCACGCTCACCCTGAAGGGACCTCATGGCCCCGTACTTACAATAAAGAACAATTGTAAACGATAATGCTGCAGCATTGCACGTGGAAAAGGCATGCGTTTCGATAAATGGTGTCAATCCAGTAAAGCTACGGCACAGTAAAGCACAGCTGTGGGAGCGGACGCTGTTGGAAGAGTTCAGAAAGTGGCTGCAGGAGCACATCGTCTTGTATTTGAATGAGCAGAGTAACGATAGTTGCTGAGGCGGCTGTCCTGGAGAATGAGTTTGTCCTGACTCAAAAGTGTTTTCCCATCTTCTGTGCAGCGCGGGCCGCCGGTACCTATTGTATATAAAGCACGGTCGCTTGACAATTTCCGACGTGGTAACTTCTCGTCCCCGACGGGAGCGCTTTTATTGTCATGAACCGGGCCACTTCATTGCAAGCTGCCTGATATTACAGCAAAAGGAAAAATCTTCTGTAGTCAGGCTAATTCAGAGGCTGTCAAAAACGAGTCGGGTTGAGCTTCGGACAGAGGAACCGCAAAAAATTGACGATTCTTTTAAGCCCTTTATTTCACACGGTTACTTTTCCCTGAGTGGCCGTGAGGGGGACAAGATCCCAATTATCATTTTAAGGGATGCTGGGGCAAAGTTTTCTGTGGCTGGACGTGGTGTGGTGCCATTCTCTGACTGTAGGGAATGAAATTGAGTGTCTTGCGTGTGCCACTTAATGCAGTTACACTCCTCCGCACTTGTCTGGCCCGGTGCGTGTGGCCGTGAGGGATGGATCTCATTCTCAGGGATGATTTGGCTGGGGTTAAGGTTTTCCCAACCACCGCCGAGGCAACTGAAAACCCTACCGCTGGTGTGCCCATTTGTAACACTGCACGCTGCCCATTTTTCCAGTCTGTGTGGTAACCTGAGCACAAACTCTGGGTGATTTAGTGGAGCTTCCCAAACCTGAAGATGTGGGCAGTGGAAAGCGAGGTGAGCCTAGTGCTGAGATAGTGACTGTGGAGGATAATTTGTGTTTGGCAGTAGAGAGAAGTCAGCTAATTATCGCTCAACTAGCGGACAGTACTCTAGCTGCCTGGTTGTCGGCTGCCCGGGATCAGAAAGGTGAAAGGTGAAAGCGGTAGTGTATATGTATGATGAGCGGGTCTTGTTACGTCAGTGGCTCCGGTGTCTAGGGCCGAGTTTGATGTGGTTACCCAGGTCGTTGTACAGAAAGAGTTTAGGTCCCAGGTACTAAGTTTAGCCCATGACCACCACCCGTCCAGACATTTGGGAATAACAAAAACATACCATCGTATACTCAGTTCTTTTTTTTGGCCAGGGTTGAAATCCAATGTTGCCAAATATTGTCGATCTTGTGGTATTTGCCAACTGACAGGAAAACCAAATCAGGTTATTCCTCCTGGCTCTTTACGTCCGATCCCGGTAATGGGTGAACGCTTTGAGCATGTCATAGTGGACTGTGGAGGCCCCCTACCAAAGACCAAGGCTGGGCATCAGTACATGCTTACTGTGATGTGCGTCGCTTCACGTTTTCCCGAGGCTGTGCCGTTGCGCTCCTTGAAAGCGAAGGCAGTAGTGAAAGCCTTGGATAAATTATTTTCCACCTTCGGATTGCCAAAATGCATTCAAGTGGATCAAGGGTCTAACTTCATGTCTAAGATGTTTGCACAGGTCATGGCGGAGTTGTCGGTTAAGCATCAGGACTCCAGTGTATACCACCCAGAGAGTCCAACAAGGACTGGGATGAGGGCTTGCCACTGCTACTGTTCACCATTCATGAAACTACTCGGATTTAGTCCGGCTGAGTTAGTGTTTGGACACATGGTGCGCGGCCCCCTACAACTGCTGCAAGACAGGCCGGAAAACAACGGTATGACAGGAAAACTTTCGGGTGTAGTTTTCTTGCAGGAAACCGGGTGATGGTCTTGTTGCCTGTGGTTGGCTCCTGTCTCCAGCCTAAATTCTGTGGGCCTTATGAGGTTAAGCGACAATTAAGTGCTACGGATTATGTAATTAAATGCCGGATCGTAAGAAAAAGTCTCTGGTGGCCCCAACCTGCCATCAGCAGTGCCCGGGTCGAGTATCTCCCCTGTGGTGACTGAGGTGACACCCCCACACCGTTCAGAGGGGAACGGATTGTGTGAGCCTCTTGTCTCGGTTCCGCGTCCCCACCTAAAGAACACCCACATTTTGGGTAGACTAGAAGGTATATGTTGGTTCATAGTGAAATGGTGATCCCGAGAGCAGTTGATCGGTGTATGTAGTATGAAAACTAGTGCTGCAATTGAGCGGCGAGAAACGTGCTGAAGACTGCATCACATCTGTGCACAGACTTTGAATTAAACCTTTGGCGGCAAACATTTACATCACGTTTGGTGTGAACGCAGCGTGAGACTGCTGCAGTGGAGCGGGCGGACAAACCGAGAAAGACCCCGATCTCTTAATTGGACATGTTCATTTTTAATATCTTCCAAACGGAGTCGATGGAACCAAAGTTGTTATTATTAACCACTAATGTCTTTTGAAATACACACAGGACGTGAGAACTAACTGCTCCTCTTTATTCAGGTAAGCCAGCCTCCCACAGGTTGCTCCCCTCACCTGAATTCCCCTGGGTCCTAAGGCCCTGTAGGTAATGCTTCTAATAAACATCAATATGCATTATGAATGCAGCAACATACATTTATAACAAGTACAACTACTGAACAGAGACTGTTAATTCTGCTCCCCAATATCAGAAAAACGTGACTGTATGTGAGCGTGTGTCCATGAGTAAGGTGCTGCAAGACAGCCATGTGCTGTACTAGTGATTTAAGGTATGCTGGGAACTTTTTAGTGCACCGGCTGGTGAGAATAGCTTGGGTCTGATTTGATTGCATTCACGTTTAAGTTCCGTTAGTAGATCGATCATTAAGGGGGGGACCAAGACATTAAACGCTTCAGTGGCCTTGATGCTTCTCAGCAACAGGCCCTGGAAGTCTTGTAATGGTAGAGGGTCGAACATGAAAGCACGAAGATATCACCCAATCCAGGAGGATGATCTGACTGATCTGATTTATTTCCAGCAAGTGTTCAGGAAAAGAATCTACTAAATGCAGGGGGTGAATATTTAAGCAATTGTTTCCCTCCCTTTATCTTCTAACAATATTCATTTGTAAAAACCTAATGATATTGAACATGATTTTAATAATACTTTTAATATCCACTGCATGTCATATGATGCCATCCATTTCAGAATTAGAGCTGTGAGATTTGCTTCAACCATGTTGACATTCAAATTCTAAATCAATATTTGAATGCTGCAAAGGTTCTTCTTTCCTTTTCAGCATGCAGATTGCTAACAGTACTATATGCCATTGTTTGTTGACTGTTGTGATCCAAACATTTCTAAAAACAAATTGTGCGTTCACACCAAAAGCGAAGCGAATTATTCACGCAAGTAGATTCCATGTAAAGTCAATGCACAGAGGCGTCTGGTCGCGAATGAGGCGACACGAAGGACGCGACGCATGGGACGCGAAAAATAAATAATAAATCGCTCTTTCGCCCATAGTAGAAATGTTTCACTTTTGGGCAAAATAGTCGCCTGACGCTTTCTATCGAAAGCCAATCAGCGTTGAGATGCTCCCCTCGTCACGCACCGAGCCGACACAACAGGTCATCAGACCGGCTGCTGGGCCGCCTGAAGCAGCGCTGGAAGCCGCTGTCATCCAGACGCACTTCCTGGAGGCGTTGGTGAAATTCAAGCTGTGTGCAGTGACGGATGATGTCATGAACCCAAACACAACAGTTTGTGTAATTCACACAACAAATAAAAGAGCAGAAATTGTGCTTATTGCCATTTATTGCCATGATGGAAACGATAACTGTCTTTACGGAGACACGTAACGGAGATAAGCCACGCCCCCTTCCAGGCACAAATGAAGCGGAATACACCGCTTCGCTTCTGGTGTGAACGTACCATAAAGCGTTGTCAAGTCTAGACATCAATAAGTTAGATTGGGATATAATTTTCCCTGAACTATTAAGGGAAGAACAAAATCCCATCAGTCAGATTCTGCAGGATCAATGAATGAATTATTAACTGTTATGCCACTTTGGATGGTGGGTGGCCCTTTACCTCAGTATTTAGTTACATTATTTTATTAATGCTATTAAATCTCCCTGCCGATTTGTATTGGAATTCAATTTCCCAATGGCATTAATGAAAAGTTATTTCAGCTTTTTGAGCACTTTGACAACCTTAATACAAATGTAGTTCTTGAACACCACATGAAGAGATCACGTAGGACATATTCTACTCACCTGAGCACCGATGGCACTTGTCAGCTTAAAGATGTACAGAACGATATCCAACAGAGGCTGAAGGACACACACAGGACAGACCCTTTCAAAACAATACTCAAACTCAACTTCTACAATGGGCTTACAGAGGGGATTCTTTCACAGCATTTATTTGAAGTCTGGTACCTTGCTGAGGTTGGAGTAGAGGTCCACCACACTGTTGCAGAATTTCTCCACATCCTGTGTCAGTAGCTGGTCTGCATTGGCTATCCGGTTGTCCAGGTTTCCCATCTTGTAGTAGGTGAAACCTCTGGAGAGCCAAAGCACATGATCAAACAAACAGACCCGTGTCCTGGTTGTGACTTGTGAACAGTGAGAGACCTGCATATATGTCCAGCTATATCAAGGGACACTATATGGTAGACAATGAAGCAAGAGGGGTTGAAAGGTTTTACATGGATCCTGGTGAGGAAAAGTGTGGTGGATGAAACGGGGGGAAAGGTACCAATAATGCGCCTAATGTTTACGCCGTGAGGTCAAACACCCATCACTGAATTAAAGCCAAAAGCACTTGCCAATTAAAAAAGTTTGTGCTTCTTTGGACGAAAAGATACTTTCCAGTTGTGGTTCTCCCTCCGTCAGCCAAACCACAGCTGCAGCTGCATCATTTTATAGTGAGTAAAGTAGGAGTAGTGTATTGCACTCATAAGGTGCTTCAAAGACAGTGACCAACGAACTTTAAAACAACCACAGCTTAATCGCAATTAAGTAATTTCTGGAAATAATGTAGTAACGCGTTAACCTGCTCAGCACTCATCTTCTCTTTTACTCATGTGTCTTCTAACAAGATGGATTTTTGTGTGATCTACCGCGAGTTTCCAGCTACCGTGCAAAGTGTACCAACTCTAGCTTCATTGCTTTGCTGTATTTGATAAACGACATAACAGATGGAATGAGCTCCTCTGTCTCCCTCTCCCTTTATAATAAGAATTACCATCTCATTAATGTGCATCACTAACTTCCACGGAGTACTTGTGCTTCCTGTCATCATAAACCAACATTACCCTTTCCTAAAGTTCTATCTGGTGGCGGCGGTTCTATCTGGTGGCGGCGGTTCTATCTGGTGGCGGCGGTTCTATCTGGTGGCGGTTGTCCCTGCAGTGGTCCTGCCGTACACCTGCTTACTACTCCCAATATTTGAATCATTTCTGTCAGAGGAACTGAATGTATTGTTCATCTTCTACATTGTTCATTCTGTCCACACGACATCATCGTAGTCTGTCCATCAGGAGACGGATCCTCCTCTGACGTTCTTCCCTTTGGAAGGGTTTTTCATTTCATTTTCCTGTGCCGATGTGAGGATTTGTCGCATGTGTACAGACTGTAAAGCCCTCTGAGGCAAATTAAAATGCATCTGAATAATGAGAAGATGGCATAGGACTGGGATGCAGCTTCGGTATTGCTGTGATACTCACTGCAGGTACTGGTCGTACAAGTTCTTAGTGAGTCTCTCACGGAACCTCAGCTTCAGCTCGTAGAGACCCAGCTTCAGGAAGTTGTTCACCAAGGCTATCTGAAACCACCAGTCACACCAAACAGACATGAGCCCTATGCTACAGTGCAGTACTATTCAAAACCATATCGTATTCATGCACATTGTGGCTTTGGTTGTTCAATTAGAAGCATACAAAAACATGCAGCAGAGAGACAATTTGAACAATGTTATGCTGCCAATAATGGATTTTATTCTAATGGTCCACAAACGTCAGATCAGTCTCAATATTAATGAATGTCCACTGAAAAAGGCACAAATATATTTTGTGATTGTCTCTACCAAAATAAATTATCCAACAGAAATCGCATGTAAGGATTGAAAAATACTTCCATCAAAACCAAACATGGATGTTGTTGAACCCGCAATGAAAAAGGTATTTTGCACCTTCAAAGTACTAAGCATTGTTTTGTTCATCAAATGGGAAAAAGTCTACTTAAGTCTATTTGAATTCCAGTTCGTTATGGAACAAAATGGAAGAAGTCCAAGGGAGGTGAATACTTGTGCAAGGCACAGTTCGAATCACAAAATACATTTCCATAAATACACTTACTAAGATTGACTCTGATCTGAGTATCCGTGTATAAACTGTGTGCAACAGAGTGTCATTAAACACACAATGAGCTACACTGTTCCATGAACGAAGCGCGCCTTACCATTTAACATTGCAGGATACAAAAGGTACAGTTGCAATATAGTAATAGGTTATGCTTATTGATCTGAAAGTAATTCAACATTCTTTCCATTCTTCTGTACACAACCAAAAGGATGAGAAGCCCACAACTATGTGCAGGACTATCAACGGACACTGAAGACAATAAAATAAAGGCACTTACAAGTGGCATGACTTTGACAAAGCTGAACAAGAAGGCCTTGAAATCTTTTGACGAGCGCCCGATAATCGCACTGCAAAGCACAACATGCACAGAGACGAGCAGGTATTGGTTAATCATTAGTGGGACTGATGGTTCCTATTCCCATCAAAGCAACACTGCACTGGGTCTAGAGTACATTGATTTGTCAGCTTCACATGCTAACGTTTTGAGGTTAGCGGAAGCCAAGTGTTGTTTGGCTCGGAGGAGAACGTAGAGCACCGGCAGTGAGTGATGAATTACTATTCCCGAGCACGCTGTTCAAACGCCAGTGTTAGTGTAAGAACACTGTTGGCCAGTTACCCCGGGTATCACTGATATGTAGGAATAAAAGTGCTTCTTGAACAGACGGATGTCTCTGCCTATAATACCGCTGTGGAGAATGGAAAGTCAGCAGTGACGGCACAGGATCACACAAAAACTGCCACAAACGAATAATATAGCATACATATTTTCTTTTGACAAACTTCCCTTTGCAGCAAAACATGTTTGTCCTCCACACCACAGGCACGTCTGATGAACCCTCGAGCTTTCAGAACTCATTTCGGATTGTTGTACCAAAAGTCTACACTGATCTGATCAAGGTCAGAGATTGTGCCCAAACACACTGGATGATGATTATTATTATCATCGAATCACCGGTAACTTCAATTTGGAGTGAAAGGATAAAAAGTCAGAAACGCTGACCGGCCAGTTGAACCCCCCCCCCCCCCCCCCTCGAAGAAACTCACCCAAACGAATCCACATGGATTTCAAAAGGTATGAACATGGATCAGGCCTGACATATAAGCCAGAAGCGGCCAACGGGCTGCTACGTGGTGACAACATTAAAGCCCCAACAAGTTCATTGAAGCGCTCATTGAAAGCCCTTGAGACCTTTCGATCATGGTGCCATTCTGGATCATCCAGACGTCACAGTAGGTCCTGGTCACCAGCATGGCAGCGATAAGGATGAGGTAGCCAGTCTGTGGAGGACAACAAACGGGCTGTAAAACAGATTATTCAGCCGTTTATCGGGCTGCCCTTGCTCATATCTACTGATCGGATAAGACCGAGTGTCCTTGCCCTGTGGAGCGGACTTATATGGGTCAAAGGACTCTGCTGTCTGGACAACTAGAGTTGATGACATATTTGAGGGTGGTTCCACTTCAGATAAAGAACTAACAAAACCAAAAAATGGCATTTTGGGGAAATGTATTTCTACAGCCTTCTTTCCATTATAATCATACCAGTCATGTAGATGGGTGTCTGGTTGAAGCCATTTTCTTGTGTTGTGTTTTGCTTTTCTGGCATTTACACTCATTTAGTACTTAGTTTGAATAATTTGTGGATTTTTCAAAAAAAAGTCCATAAATAAATTCACCCGATTAAAATGTATTTAATTGTTAAAACAAATAGTCACTAACTCCTTTCGAGCAACCGTTAGTTGCCATTACAAACATGACCGTTAGCCAACATGTTTGGTGTAAACTTTGATATTTCATGCGGCATGACTCGAGTGGTTGATTCAGGTGGACATGCTACCATTTGTTGGCCAAACATCATGGATCCATTTCAGCCCTCTAACCACCCGTATCTAGCAAGGAGACGACACAGATTAACGTCGACCTCTTAGCAAAACGTCATGTTGCCAATGCTGTGCGTCTCTTGCATGGACCATTTTCTCTAGGCTACTGAAACGCGATACACGAGTTACGTTCAGACTAACATTAATGGCAGTACTGCCCCTTAGCGCTTAACTACTGATTAGCCCATACCCTACAACCAATTGGTTTGGGTGGAGGTCAATGCCATTTCAGAATATTTCCCTGTTTAAAATGAGCCTTCTAGCCATTGGAAGCAGGGCAGACAGCCCTTTGCCATTCTTACCACTCTGGTTAGTATTCAGAATAACACCGTGGTTGGGTTGCTTAATCACGGCTCTTTGCCTGTTGCCTTGACATCACATCCTTTTCTTTCCCCTAACAAATGTACTTTTATATTAATTTGCAATGCATTTTCAGTGTGGGGGGGAGGGGGGGCTGTTATTATGGTAGGGGAAACACTGTAGGTGTTCTTTTGCATCTCCTTCAACCATGGATGACAATGCTGTGTGAGATGTGGAAGTGCCCATTGGAAGATGATTCAGCAGATTGTGACACCGAGGACTATAGACAGGATCCTTTGAGTAGCCGAGAATCACGTCTCGTCTGGGTTTCAACTCTGCTTCGTGAAAGCTTTTAAGAAATGTCCTGTTCAATGATTTGACACCGGTGTCGAGTAAAACACAGATGATGCCATCTGATAACTGCCGTTGTACAAGTCAAGGCTTCGGGACTAAACAAAGTGAAGGAGCTTCCATGTCCATCTTATCCTGTCGTACATCACCAGTCTCACAAGTGGTTTTGGTCGTGCACCCTCAGCTGAAGCATTGCTGTAAACAGGGAACCACTTCAGACACTACTTTTGCTATAAATGTGTTCCAAAGTCTGAAAATCACCGTGTAACCTTAAGAATTATCACTACCGAACACATACTCTCTTCAACAGGGTAAACTCTATGCATGTATGTTTTCAAGTGAGTACACCTCTTCAAAGATGGGTATGCAAGAAGTGCCTTACATTAGTTTATTCATCAGTGTGAAAAGAGGTTTTAATTATTTGATTAGTTCATGTTGAAGGATTTTTCAAAATGTGTTGATTAATAAAGCATTACTGTTTTAATATAAATGTAGGTTTATTGGACACTCCTCAGCACCTGAACCAAGTACAAGCTTACAACCTACTTGTCGATGCTCAACAGCGTTGGCCACGAGGTAAATATGACAGAAACTAAATGATATATGGAGGCGGGAGAAGGAATGAAAGAAGGCATTCTGAACGGGGTGAACAGGTCGGTGCTGCGTGGGTTTTGACTTTTAATAACCCCTCAGAGCTTCAGTCTTTTTAAACAGTCAAAATACAAGCTGTCGGTTAACGGTTAAGTGCTAAGGGAGCACCATCCTACTTCTAACAACAGAAGCAGCCTGATTTTATCAAATAAAATAATTCCCCAAACCCTGATTTACCTTTTGATATAACACAGTCACAAGATGTGTTCAGCATTGATGGATATGATCGATCCTTGACTCTGAAATACCAAGCCTCCCCTTCTTATTTTGCAGAGTGAGTGTGTGTGTGAAGCGCCTGGAGACAATATCATGTCAGGTCGGGCCTGTCGCTCAATGTCCCACCTCCTTGCAGACAAGTCGAGGTACCAAGATCCGCAAGATCTCGAAGATCCTGGAGAAGAAAACCTTGTCCACGGCTGCACGGTCTTTCCTGCCTTCTTTCTGAATGAAGAGAGGAAGCAAAGGTCTGTGATACAGCAACTCATCATGACAACTCTTCCATCACACGCCAGAATCCACACACCTCGTTCAGCACGTCGGAGCCTCCTTTTCTGCTGCGGAGAAAGAGCCACAATAGATCAGCTGCGGCTGGAGAGAAACGCTGCGCACACACAACTGAGGACATATATATATATACACACACATCTCTTAAGGCATTAGAACGTATTGTAACGCTAAGGAAGCACATTCGTCACACAGCTCTCGCTCAGCGGATCGCAGCCGTGTCACTTATATGACCAGTGATCTGTACTAAAGGACGGAAGCGGGTTCACGACCCAAGCGGCAGGTTGCAGTCACCGGTCGTTCCCAATGGAGAGCTAGCAGCGGCTACTTAGCGCCCAGCTAGCCGTCCCCAACTCACTAAAAGCAGCGTGTCGTGCGCTTCAGGGCCGCTTACCCGTCCCGGTGAGCCGCCCTCCTCCTCCGCTTCAGCAGGTACAGCGCCAGCAATATGCCGCCGGCTACGGACGAGTTCTTTGCGGTCAGATATTTGCTGAAAGTCGCCATGTTCCTGACACAACGACCAAGTGACACTTTGGTTTAGTTCGCTGGAGGTTGGTACACAGCCCAGTTGCATTCTGGGAGTCTTCTTCTTCGTCGCTGAGCTTTTCCGGCAGCTGCGATCCAATATGTCGCAATGCTGCCACCTTCTGGATTCAGACCACAACTGTCGCCAGATCCTTTTAATACACACGTATTTCTCATGGAGTTAAACAGGTGTTTACATGTTGTAAAACCTCGTTCACTGATCGCTCTTTTGGTCGCCGTCCCCGAGCTGAGCTTTTTTGCAAACGGCATGTTTTATGTGCCGAAACTGTAAATAAAGGCACTATTTGCCGCACTGTCAGAAGTGTGTGTTTGTTACCTTCCCTGCACAGAAGAAGGTGTCACATCAAAGAGCATTTCCACATATTCCGTACAGATGGTGATTGATGTACTGGAGAATGTAGCATGTATGAAGAGGGCAGCCAGTCCCCCTGAATCCCCCCATCACAGGCTGCCTTGGTTTAAAACAAGGGCCAATTCCTCAGCTGGGTTGAAGCCTGGTGCCCCCCCCCCCCCCCCGTGTCACACAAATGAGCCTTTTTCTTAACTGCTAAAATCACTTTAAATAAAATATGTGAGCAGGTCACTATTTATATAGTGCTTTACATGGTAGGCTGCTCAAAGACACTTTAGGGTAAAACCAGCACATACACACAGATACAGAAATAAAAAGCTGCCATTTTCCTTTTTTGTTGCATATTTTATGCTTCACCTCCTCGTATATTTTCCATGATTCGTTGCTGCTCGGCGGGTGAAAAATATGCTCCATTTGTGCATCAGGACACCGTGGTCTTCTTCAGAAAGCCGTGAACGTGCACTGATCCAGCTGTGTCCACCTGGATTGACTGAGCTCCCCCTTCTCATCCCGGCTCGGCAGATGTGCAACTGATTAAGATCACACAAGTCAAGTCAGTTATCCTGGATTTCTTTATTCTACTTTTGTGCAACAGCCCCTGTTTTATCTTTTCCAAACTTCTTCCTTTTGATTGTGTTTACATCTGTGCCCCGTAAACCCTCCGTTTTCCAACGGGGATTTTGCACAGTGTCCCGTCAGAGCTTAACCTCACTGTCCTCGTAGGACGCATTTATTTGAAGAGTGCATACGTCACTTTGGCAGCAACTCTGTCCTGTTCCACCGGCTGGCGGTCGAGGGAGATGCTTTGGAGGACTCTTTCATTTATTCAGGACGGAGGCAGCTGAGCCGGGAAAGAATTCACTCACATATCTACTGATTTAAATGTCATATTTTACTATACTGCATGACATCAGAAAAGCTACGTGACATAAGACACATACACATAAGACCTGTGAACAAAGACTCATTCCTGCTACTCCCCCCAGGTGTGATGAGGAGGAGAGCGCCACACAGAACTCTTCCTTATGGTCACATCATTGTGAGGAGACCACACATGGCATGAGACTGGATCTTGTGTTGGAGGACCAGCTCCTCCTCCACGCCCGTTTAGGGCCAATATAGAGAAAGATTTCTATCTAACAAGTACAAAATGTAATGTTCTTCCTGATGTCAGTCAGTTGTTCTTCTCAGAACGTCTCCTGGCTTTGCAAACGCAGCGCTGATTCTTGACCTGGACAGATAAATCTACCAGAAGCAGAGACGTCGTTTGGCTGAATCCTTCCAGATGTCTCCAACCGGGCGTCCATCTTCCTTACATCAATGTACCAACACACATTCTACCGAATTCCCTCAAAGTGCTGTCCCCCAACAAGAAAAAATATTTAACAAAACTATTAAGTTTAGAATATTTGATGGTCTATTTAAAGCCAAGACATTCAATTAGATAGTGATACGCTAAATATGTACAAAGTCATCAGTTATAGGGCACTTTCTATTGGGAAGTAGCAGTCCCCAATCCTGACATTTCTGTAAACAACACTTAAAACATTTATTTTCAAATGGTTTTATTTTCAAAAACAGAAGTTGTAGGATTTAGATTGATTTGGGTTTTATTTTAAAATGTAAAAACTATAAGAATCATGTCCCCGGTTTTAATGTCACTACCGATACTTTTGCTATAAATGTGTTCCTAAATACTGAAAATCGACGTGTAACCTTAAGAACTGTCACTACCGAACACTAGATATGTGTACCTTAGATATGATACAATACAATATATATATATATACAGACAAGGTTTTGGGAATAAAACATACAAAATTATAAAAAGTATTATACTTTTTACTATATTATTTCCAACCTGACTTTGAACAATCTGGTAGAATGCCCCTTATTCTAAATACAGACCGATCAGCTCGTGTCACTGTAGTTATTAGCGAAGTCTCTTTAATGACTCAACTCTCACACTTTAAAGGCTGACCAACGTCTTACAAAGGCTGTGAGAGTTTATACTTCATATTATGAGCAGAAGTGGATCAAAGTTATGAACCTGAAATATCACTTTCTAAGTGAGGAATGTTATGGACGTTGAGAACAAACAAAGACCCCCAACTGTTTGTTCTCCTCAGTGCAGTGGTGTGATTAGAACTTACATTTAGTTGTGTTATGGCGCAGCGTCAAGCTGGAGGAGAACAATGCCTGAAGCGTGGACATATTCTGTAATATCTTAAGGTTACAGTTAAAATAGCATGTATGTGAAAGCCTGGAAAACCATATTCAACATAAACATTCAGCATGAATGTACTGTTGTTAGAGAATGTCTTCTATCTAGTCTATGTGTGAATTACGATGCTAAGGAGGTAAACAGTAAGGAGCATGTGGTAACATAGCAGAGACAGGCCTTTTATTTCCTCACTAGGAATGTGATTTATGTACTTGCAGAAAATCGGCCCCCCGGTGAGTCAAAATGGAGGCCGTACCAGTTACAGGATGTAAGGTAACGGTTTCCTGACCCGGCCAGCGGAAACCAATACGACCATGAACCGGACACTCGTAATTTGACGCCGTTTCCGGTCTTTTTTTTCCTGATTGCCTGGAAAATGAAAGTGATGTTCATTCATACAGGTCAACGAATCTATGTCTCAAATTCCATGAATATATACAAACGTTTCCGTCTGTAATTACCACAGGAAAGTAACTTTGATGAGAGACGGTAGTAAGAAGGCAGGGGCGACGGTCTATACCAGGGGTCTTCAGCTCAAAGGTGACATTTCTACAAGCAAAGGTATGCAAGATCATAAGGTGACTACTTAGTGTGATTAAATAGGGGAATAGAGTTGTATCAACATTTGCATGTAATCAATACACGACTAACAAAATATACTGTGATAAGTTTCACTGTACTACTAATATGAGTGAGCTTGTAGCTTGACACGACTTTATCTAGCCAATGAAAATCGGGCATCAATGTGTGACATTCATCACAGAAGACAGAAATGTTTTGGACCGCAAAAAAAATGAACAACGAATCGTAGCGTCAGTTTCTGTTGGGTATAGCTCTTTGTTTGGATTCTCAGAAATAAGTAAAATACTATTTTTTCACAAGGCAGGCCACATCAAGCACTGTCATACACAATGATCTTATAATGATGCAAATAAGGAGTACTTGAGTGTGAGACTGAACTTTTGTTGGAAGCCAGCAGTAGTTCTTCTCATCAGACCTATAGTGTAGACCTGCAAAAAGTGTGGGCCGCGGCCCCCTGGTGGGCCGTGAAGGTACTGCTGGTGGGCCGCGAGAGGTCATTTACAATAAATAAATAAAGTTTTTGATTTTCAATTTTTAAAAGTTTGAAATTAATATAAAATATTTATGATGCGGCACATTAGTTATGTGAAACATTAATTGATGAAGCACAAACAATTTAAACAGACAGGTTAATAAAACAATAAGGCCTGTCGTTGTTCAACAAGCGGGGCGCCCTCTTGTGGTATTAAAGTCAATATACAGTGTTTTCCGCACTCCAAGGCGCACTTAAAAGGCTTTAATTTTCTCAAAACGACAGTGCCTTATAGTCTGGCCGCGGCATTCTTGAGTTTGGGAACCTCTGGTGTAGATAAATCTCCAATATGATATGTTGCTAGATTATATGGTTAAACTGAATTTTATGTTTTCAACTCAATTGTGTGTGGTTCAGTGGCGGCTGGTGCATAAAGGCCCCACCTTGAGCTACCAAAAAAAAGAAAAAAACGTTATATTAAAATATATTATTAGTCAATATTTGAAACTATATATATATATCATGTGTTCTATTAGATTTTATATAAATATATTCATATTGTGATATATTAACCATTTAATGTATTTTTTATATAATATTTATAATAGTTATGGGATATGGTAGTTGTTTCATATACTGTTATACATATTTTTTAATTATATTTCATATACTTCAACAGTGATCACATACAGAAAATAAAATTCAGGTAGTTTAAATATGAATGTAATATAAAAGTTTACAGATCAAGAGTATTTCATTGAAAGCTGTTTATTAGTGATGTGTCGTCAGGTGAAAAAGGATCCAAAGACTCGTACAAAGACCGAGTAGGGAAATGAAAGAATCGTCTAGCTACCAGTACTGAGCCCATGCAGGTCACGTGAAAAAGGATCCAAGGACTGCAGATGAACAGTTAGCAATTTTGGTAATAAATGTTCCTGATTCCTGATACCTGGGTGAAGCTTTTAGCGACAATGATGAGAACTCTAAAATTGTATAGAAGACAAGTGAGAAAGCGTGAAGGCAAGCATCAGAAGTTTGCTTACCCACAGTTTGTAGATTCGAAAAAGTTGTTTAGACAGCATCAGCTGATGCCTGCATAAAACAGATCTCTCACTGCTGCTTTCAAACCTTTGGAAGTCATTATGTTTGCCTGTCTTCAGAAAGGCACTAATGGCGCGTTTCCACCGAGCGGTACGGTACGGTACGGGTCGGGTCGGTACGGGTCGGGTCTGCTCACCATGATTTGGCGAGCGTTTCTACTGCCAACAATAGATAGATAGATATACTTTATTGATCCCTCAATAGGGAAATTTTGGTATCACAGCAGCATGTACAGGGAAGAAAATAGAATAAAAAAGATACACATTATATACAACATAATACTAATATAATAATACCCT